ACCATTCCAATGCCACTTAACTGTCAAATTTCAACTGATTCCAAAAAATATACTCCAGTGCATGTATTCGAAATGAAAAGGGGGTTTTAATTGATGTGTTGCAAGTAGGTCTGCATCGCAAACGATATTCGAATTAGTAATTTCCAACCGGTTAAAAAAGTCGTAAATTTTTCTATTGATAAATCTCACGAGTGGACGAACATCTAGTTGAAATTATTTCAAAAAAATCTCCACGAATGTAATTCAGCGTGTAATTTTTCAACTATTTCGCTAAATGCCCAGGGAAAACGGAACATTTTACAGCCGCACACTCCATTGTGGCGTCATTTTTATCTATTAATTTAAACGAAGATCCAAACGTGAAAAATTTATCGCTGTAATTTACTACTAGCAAATTATCAGTACCGATGATACCGAATGATTGGCTAGAATTAGGAATTGATAATGGTTGAAACGAAAACATCACATTTCGACATGTGGAAAAAATAATCATTGACATTTTCAACGCTATTCTTACCGCCGTTGACGACCGACAACAAAAAATATTCAACTCAAGTTCAAGAATGTATTTTAAAATATCAACTGCAAATATATTAAAGTCTCGTATACTGAATTGAAATGCTGCACGATCTTTCATGGACAGTTACAGCTATAGGATAATATTACGTCTATAAAGAATATAACATACATAACGCGCCATCATAATAATATTCTACCGTATTATTATTAAGCAAAACAGAACTATTCGTACACTTATGGTAGGTACCAATTGCTTTTGTGTATCATTGTTAGGGTGGCTACAGATGAATCACCCTAGGCTAATTCTCCCTCCCCCTTCCTGGCTCTAACCAACATTGTTATTGTGAACTGCAAGCCATGTGGCGCCACCATGCGACTAATTTTGATAGGTTTCAATAAAGTCAAAGGGACTTCAGCAGCCTTTCAACTATTTCCATCTTGTTATCGATTGACTAACGCTATCAGATGATATTAGGTGGTATTTCTTCAATTCAAGTAGCTTGTCAGAATAGCTATCATTTTATTGGTTCATGGTCCTCATGCTACTACTTGCCGGTACATTAATATAACGTTAACGTTGTATAATTATCATCGAGTAAACAATTGAAGCTCATGTTTTGTAGGTAGGTATGCCAGCATTTTTTTCTTCTTCTACACGTTATATTATTTAAAGGTTGATGAGCTCAACAGGTGAACCATCACCTAGTTTTTCAGTCATCAGTAGATCTATATATTGTATTCTAGTGGATAACACTATTTAACATTCTAATATTGATTCTAAACTTGATATAGGTTTGCATAGTTTACAAATTTCGAATTGTTTGTTCAAATCAAACAAATAGCATATAGGTATACTAAGAATCGGTGCATATTTCTAGGTTATGTTTTCAAAAAATATCGTCTTCTCATCAGCATTCTTTCCGAGCGCGATACCTATTTATCAATTTTATATTCTTGGTAACCAATAAGATCAATACCTAATTTCCATTTTATTCGTGAATGAATTAAGATGAATGGTATTTCTTACTTTCGGGCCTCAGATACGGCGCCTTCGTCAGAAATGATTATTGAATTTTGTCATAAATCAATGGCATTGTGGGTGGCGTAGGTAGGTACTGTTTTTTATCGCCTACTAATTGGTATCTGCTAATAATTCTATTTTCGTTCGTTTGGTAATAAGTATCTTTTTACTAGCTATTATTGATTCAACATAGCAAATATTCTGAATATGCCATTTTATTGGTTAGTAGATATAAACTCTAGCGCCATTTATCAAATCTATTTTAGATCGCCTAGATCTATATTAGACCTCGGCTTCTGGGAAAGTCAACAGCCAACTTATTATGTGTTCACAAATCCATTCAAACTAAAATCCCACTCATTCAAGCTGTCTACTTTCATTCTCAAATCTCCACTTCTGACTTCTGATTTTTTACATCTAAACATATAGATAAATTTATTATTGTAACAAAACACGATTATTTCGATGAAGTTCATATTGTCATCGGCAGTAAACAAATTTGTTATGAATAAATCCAGGATTCAGTTCCGATATGCCAATGTGTTCCGTACCATCTCCATACCAGCTGAAATTTTTCGGTCTGGAAATTCGTGATCCCATGACGATTTTCCTGCCATTCCAGCCTCTAATGACGCTGGTGAAGCTTCAATAGGCCCATCACCAACGCAAAAGTTGAGGTAGGTAGGTAATTGTCGTTAGATAAACGACAAAAACACCATGGAGGTCATCTTTGTACAACAAATTTTAGCCACTTTTATGTATTTCGTTTGTAACTATCTCCGTTCAATAAATCCTAACATTGTTTAATGAGTTTCAACGTGCAAAATTAGTTCACATTCAATTCAGATCGACGAAAACGGTACTGATATAACGTGTAAACAATCATCTGCAGAAATTTCGAAAAGCGAGAGGATAAATCCGTAACATGTAATCTATCATGTCCCTATTGATCACAATGGATCACATAATACAGTTTCGATGCTATGCGCAATGCGCATGCAGAATTAGGAGTTTTTCCTGTCGCTATATCTCAAGCAATGGGCTGACGCCATGCTATTAGCGAACCAGGATATCAACATATCCTCAATATATCATGCGACTTATTGTGAACAATGCTGAAATGCTGGGGTACATTTCGTGATTTAACCTCTCAGCGTGATAGGGTTATTTCATTTCAATTTCTCTTTATCCAATTTTATATTATTTGGCGTTCCCATTATTGGTAGACAAAGCCTCGGAAAACATACACAGCAGCCGTTAAAATGGGTTCCTTCCATTATGTGCCTCATTTATTGTCTTCTCAAATAATATGAGTTTCTAAAAAAAAGTTATCCTCCATATTTATACAGGTTGTCCCAAAATAATGGCACAGTAAAACTGCAGATTTATTGGAAAAAACCTTGCAATCTTACCTCAGTTGAAAAGTTGGCAATAAAAGTATATAGTCGCATTGAGAACACCCAGAATGCTGACAGATCACAGGAAAGTTTGACAGAAATAAATTTATAGGGCTATCCCATTGTATTGGTTCTAATCAAAGCATTCATCAAAAAATTCACCTTTGCAAATCTATATCAAAATGGATGCATTATGAATCTGTAAGTAACTTTTTAGAAAAAATTAAGGAAATACAGATAAATAAATAATATAAATACGTAACAACGTCTAATGTACCTATCCAAAACGCCGCAGAGAACTGCCTCTACAATATAGACATCGAAATTATCAACAAATTCTAGTTCCTCGTCCTGAAAAATTCTTCATCAGATTGTGACGTGAAAAATTCAACCGTTTCCTAAACAAGATGTGGCCGACTATCGATTGCATTTGCATTCACTAGTATTTTCATTTATAGACCAGGAGACAATCCGAAAAAATGAGATATCAATGTTCCACCTCGATTAACTTACAGAGTAGACAAATATAAGTTGATTATATGAATCTAAAATCAAATATTCAGTTGGAGACCTTGTATCTCGGTTGCAATCAACTTTTCAATTCAATTGACCTAAGTTTTGTCATATCGCAATTTTTTTATCAGAGAAAATTTCCATGAACCTTGAAATGACGCATTTCCTGTTATTTTATAGAGCTAGGTAATTATAAGGGCGTCCAATCTATGCCAAAAGTTGAAATTTTTCTCACTCCTATCCGATATTCCAAAAACGTCGACTTAAAATTGGAAATGAGTCTATCTAAAAACAAAACTACCCGAGTTTCATTTCCAAGAGAAAATGTTTCAGTGCAAGTTCAATATATTATGGAATAATTGGAATATACTGTGTCACCAAATTTTTTTCCACCATTTTGGGAATGCATTCAATAGGCATTTGTTTATGTAAGGCAAACAGCTCCTAATATTTGTCAATTCTAGAACATGACTTTGTTTGAAGATAACCAATGAGTGATGTCTTTCAACCATAATAGCTCCATAGTCGTTTGACATACTCCCATCACAGATATTACCCATGAATTCATATTAATAATTAGACAAACCCCTACCTTCCGCAATTTTTGCAGATCCATTACACTATTCAATGTTTAAATATTTCACTTAATTCAAGCATATTGTCGATTCGTCGATTCTGAATTGAAAGTGGAAAATGCAATATTCGTATATACTCTAGTCTAGTAGTCAGCAATTTATAAAAATTATGAAAATGGATTCTTCATTGATATTGTCGAGGAATAAACCCTCATGTACTTATATGATATATTTTTCGACTGAAATGGTTGCTTATGGTTGTTTTATAGGTAATTTTATATAATGGGATAACTCTGCTAAAGCAATTCCTAGTAATCTTCCCACTAAAGTGATGTCAATAATCAGCATTTATGACTGATGAAAAAAATCTATATAAATATTATAATTTTATACCGAAATCCAAATATAATGAAATGTGAAGCACTTTGTATGTTACATTTAGTTCAAGAGGAAAGGAGTTGTCCCATATACCTTATTAATATGCAAAATAAATTTATTTACCTTCAAGTAAAGTACAGTCAGTCAGAAGTTTACAGGATCAACTTACCACATGAAGACCTATAGAGACTATTATCAAAACCCTACAGACACGATCGCACTCGAATCAACGGCCTCTTGAATTTAATACGCGTCACTGTCACTGTGATGATATGCATTCAAATAATGCACAATATATTAATCAAAATATACACTAATGCTCAGAAATACACATCATCATTATGTGCTTTTGCCAAGCATACTGATTCAATGGACGATAGCGTATTTTTGAACATTGGCAAACTGCAATGAAAATAATCATAATAAATAAATAAATAGGTAATGCAAACTTGAAACCACCAAATAATGCCATTTCCTTCGGATGACAGTCAGCAAAGAAAAACAGTCCCCCGCCATGTGGCCGGCAACTTTCTCCTGCTTCCCGCCGATACCTGAAAAATAAAATACTGGTAAGACCAACATATTCGAGAAACTTACGTTTGGGTTTGGGAGGGATTAGCTTAATGGCGCCAGGTCTCTCAGGCAGGTCGACTTTGTCCAATTTCAATTTCTTCTCGGGGGGGATTACCGGATCCCTAATGTCCCTAGGAGGTGACGGTCGCTTTGTGGGAATAGTAGGAAGCTGTATGGAAGGAGTTGGTTTCTTCCCTGGTCTAGCAGGTGCCAACTTTATTTCTTCTTCTAGACCTGTGGATCGCATCTTTGAATTGAAAATTTTCACGGTTTTTGGCCGCTCCTCGGCATCTTTTCTGACACCAATAGAAAAAGCTTTTTTCTTTTCCCTCAGTTCCTGAAGCTCAGCAGATTCAGGCGCACTAGGTTTTTTAGGTATTCTCCCAAGTTTGTCAATGGTTGGTGGTTTAATTGAAGCAAGTGTGTCTTTGTCTTTATCAGACTGCTTTTCAGTATCTTTTTTTCTGTCTTTAGAGTCCTTGTTCTTACTAGAAGTACTACTACTGCTTTTTGAAGATCCATTGGGTCTGTATTTATCCTTTTCTTTGTCACTCTTACTCCTGACTTTCTTGTCTTTCTCATCGTCACTATTTCTATTTTTACTGGAATTACTACTTTTTGATGAACTACTAGATTTCTTTCTGTCTTTCTCTCTGTTTCTATCCCTCTCACGTTCTTTTTCTTTTTCACGATATTTTTCTTTTTCTCGACTTCTATCTTTATCACGACTGCTACTGGAAATACTTTTTGAGCTCTTAGAACTCTTGGATTTATCACCTTTCTTATCATATTTTGATTTAGAAACATCTGATGTTTCTACTGAGCCCTCAGATTCTTCTTTCTGAATATCTGTATCTGTTGAAACTTTTCGTTCAGATGAATTTTCACCATTTTTATTGTAAAAACTTTGAGTAGTGATTGAATCTGATTTGTCCTCAGTCTTTTCTTGTGTAGGTGCCTCAAGGGCAGATTCTATAATGGGATCACTTTCAGGCTGTGGAATTTCCACTTTTTGAGGTTCAGTTGATACCTGTTGGGAAGAAACACCACTCGATCCTTTCACAATAACAAGCCATTGTTGTACCAGTTGGGTGGATAGCTGGGATACACCTAAAAAATACTTTTCATGAAATTTCTTATAAACCACACAAGAACCAAATATGTAATGAAGATACCCACAATGTCTCATTCTGTAGTATTCATAAATGAAGTTGAAACAGTTTCAAACCATTGACCAATGATGAATATGTATGAAACAAGAAAAGTTGCAAATAAATTTTGGTGGGCCATATGAAATATTTTCACAATACATACATATTTCGGATTACTCAGTGATAGGCAATAAAGAAATTAAATCAATCCCAATAGGGATTCTGAATCTGCGCCTCTATTCCGTTTTTTTTTTTTTCAGTAGCTCTAGCTACAAAAATAACAACTATAAATAACATGCATTGTCCAAGAGTCAGTTATAGTCAAGATTGCTCCATCAGGGTTAAGAAAATAATACAAGGGCAACTCTAGTAGCATAGTTTAAATTGAAATTTGACTATGAATGACGTTGAATCGCAACTTCCATGATGTCTCTTGGTAGTACTTCACCATCTGAATTTCCAAGGTCTCCCTGTTCTTTAAAAAAATCCACTTATCTATGAAAATTACAGGAAATGAACCAATTCTACACAACTGATATCACAGAAGAAATAACCGGAAATTCTTCGAACAATGTTTTCCTGAAAGAAAATCTGAAGAAAGCTATCCTACCACATTATTTTTGAGATTTTGTGTTGAGGCAGTTAGGGCAATATCAATACAGAGGATCAATACTAGTGATTGGAATTGAATAACTAAATATATGTCACACTGTTGTCATGTTACTGGGATGTACACTAGAATGGAATTGGGAAATAATAAATAGATAGGGTGAAGCATTATGATTCAAAATTCGATGTAAATATTTCAAGGGCATATTGTTGGGATCAAAATGAGATTTTTTCTGCACCTAAAATGCACCCAATAAAAATGTGGACCCCCCCCCCCTTCCAATTCTCCCAAAACTGGGTAAACATAATTTTTGAAGCAAAAACAAAAAAGAGTGCCTAAAAAAACAGGGGCATGCTAATTTTCAGACGATTTGATATGTTAAAATTATCACAATTTCAGATATGTTACAACTTACAGTGTTGATGATGATGTTGATTCTAAAAAATGTTTAAGGTTGAGACCTATATGTTTGATCAAAACGTTAAATTTTCTTCAACAACCACCCGTTTATAAACGCTAATAACTGACAGTTCAAAGGCAGGTTGTATAAGCATTAGATGAAGAGTTAGCTGAGTCCGTTTCTATTTCATTATTTGTATCTTCATGGATACTTGGATCAAATCATACCTGATTGAAACAAAAAAATTCAAATGAGCTTATTAAGAATGCAGTAGGTCTTCAGATTTATTCTACACATTGAATGAAAAAGTACTTCAATAAAGATCTTCAACCATGTACCAAAATGCAATTATGTATACAGGCTAAGGTAGCTAAGAATTTGAATAAAAAGTGATGCAAAATGCCTTTGAAATTTTAGAGGGAATCGACGTTCTCTGATTCACACAGATCGCGCAAATATTCAAAAATTGGTTATACTCCACAGGAATTATGCAATATGATAATGGCATGAGAAGTATATGAGAATATGAAAATTTCCGGTCAGGCGAGGATAGGTCGGCATATTGCTAAAAAGGAGATTTTTGTTAAAATCAAATTCGCATTATTTCAGTTAATTTTTGTTTGGACAACCCATTGAATAATTCTTTGCAGCCTTAGATAAATCACCCTGTATAAAATACATCAGACAAGTTCATCACCTGTCCAAAAACTGTTGTAGCATATAAAAATGCACATAATATTGAATTTGTCTGTTCAATCTAATTCAAAAGGGTCTGTCATGCCATCTCAGTGATCTTAAACAAATCACAAAACCAATAAAATCAACAACAGGTTTTATGATGTAAACATTGAAATTTGTGATGTTCACCTTCATCTACGATTCAAATGTAACTGTATGGTTTGTGATTGAGGTATCAACTTTAAAGAACATATTCGCAACAGAAAATAAATATTGAAGCTGTTACAGTGGTCAAACCTTTAAACCGCTCTGAAGTGTTCAAGTTGTTGCCGTCAGGTTGGCTGCTGTGTTATTTTCTATTGCGAAACTTATTGAAAAAATATCAAAATAGAGACATTGTGATATCAACAGATAATGCAATCACACAAAATGAATTGAGACATTGTGGTATCAACAGAATAATAAGATAACACAACATAATTCAACAAATACCTTCTAATTCTTCTCTTCTTGATAAACTCTTGATCAGTTTTGGAAGAATATTCAACTTCAATCGTTCGACATCTACAGGTGTAATAAGTAAAAGCCCTAATATTTCCTTAACAAGATCCCAATTCAACGTTTGCACTGCGTCTTGCAGCCACGTTTGAATAAGTGTCCAACCTCCTTCTGCCATGAACATATCCACTAGTTCTTTTTCTGTATTTTTTAATATAAGCACGTACACGCATTTGCTTACTAATTTCTTGGAAAATTTTGTCATTAAACTGCAAGAGAAGCCGAGAGTGAAAAATGGATGTCAAGGGAATTGGAAATGTATACTTACTTGACTAGGCGAGGAACTTCGTCTCTGGACAATATTCCACCTTCCGGCGTCAAAAGTACCGAAAGGCACTTCAATAATTGTAGGGGGTCAATGCGCGGCTGGAACAAAACAAACTAATTCAGTAAACGAAAATAATCATTGCACATTCACTAAAAATAATGGAATCTCGTATTTTTCAAAAATTGAACCATATTAAATATGATGTATTACCATTTCTACTTCTTTTTGACAAGATAACTGTAAACACCACTCGAGAAAATGAACGACTGACAGAAGTTTAGCAGTTATTAACACATTGATTGCCAAGCCCATATCTGGAGTTTATCCCACGGGGCCAAAGGTACATTTTAGTTCCATTCATGAATTTTCACTTATCAAAAATCAAGTTTGACCCTCAAAAGTCATTATTGATTTTTTTTTCATCCATTTTGTTTGTTTTTCGATGTCATTCATATATGAATGACGTGGCCTCCCATGTTAGCCTAAAGAGTTATTTCACCACGCTGGGCCACGTCATTCAAATATGTATGACGAATATGATGATTGTTTTTTTTTCTACTAGCGTGCGGAAAAAAACACTTTTCCGCACCCATTTCAGTGTTGAAAGAGTCATTTTTCCGCACTAGTGCTAGTGTTAGGTAAACAACTATTTTTCATTATTATGTAATATTAGATTTACTGTTTTTACGATGAATAAACCTTTTCATATATGATTTTTGTATTTTATTGTCTTGCATCACGATCTATCAAAATTTGCTCTGGCCAAATATGCCTGTGACTTCCTTGGAGGCCACACATTCATATCCCCATCTGAATTGCATTGGCTATCATTCATATTCGTATGACACGGCCTCACAACAAAAATATGTCGTCATACATATATGTATGACGCGGCCTAAACGGAAGTGGTAGTGTCATTCACATATGTATGACGTGGCAATCAATGTGTTAAAGAAAGGGAACTACTTATAGAATTCCCTCTTTAAATCTCAATTATTTAGTGATCACATTACCAATTTAGTTGAAATGAAATTACTGATATCAGGGTATTCACGTAACAGGTAAGTTTAGGGGATAATCATATTTAGTAGGGATGCACCGGGTACCGGGTATTACCCGGTACCCGGCTTCGCTTTGGATACCCGGCCGGGTATTTTTTCCGGAATAAACGGTGGTCAAGACAAAAACTAAAAGGCTCGAGAACAGAAATATATTAATAACACAAATAACATTCTCACTAGAACACAAAACAAAAAATCGTGATAAAACTAATATTCAAAATTAAGGAGTGGTAAATTGTCATGAAGGAATATTAGTTGTTCTCCGTTTTCTGGCAATAGTCTGTTTCTTGTCGACTCGAAGACATTTCCTGCTTCAGAAAATAAGCGTTCGCTCGATATTGTGGATGCTAGTGCGGACAAAAAGGTCCTAGCTGTCAAAGCTAAATTTGGAAAATGTTCTCTGTTCATTTGCCACCATCCCAACGGAGAAGCCTTTCTATCAATAACATTCAAATTGAAAGCTATCCCAAACGGACTTGTTCAAGTTGGATTTTAATTTCTTTTGGGGAGAGGGCAGTAAAAGGCTTAGTGGTTTTTCATCTTGATCAGAGTCAGAGCCCTCAGTTTCATGTACAGTTTCATGTACAGATTTTGATGTTTCAAAGAATAACGTTTGTCGGCATTGTGGCTTAGTGCAATATAGATATTAGGAGATAGATATGATGGAATATAGAAACTACACGACAGCTTCAATGCACTTATTTGGTTGATAATACCCGGCCGCCGGGTATCCGTTACCCGGCCTACCTTTAAAATCGGGTACCCGATACCCGGCTTTTTCAGAAAACAGTTCCCGGTGCATCCCTAATATTTAGCATAATTATTTCATCTCTTTGCTGATTTTCAGGAACTTGCCAAAACCTCAATTGACATCAATTTTCTACCTCCTCTCCCTAGGTACGCATGTTCCACGAACATACCAAGGATTAACTTTCGTATTCTCCAAAAGATAAAGAAAGTGAATAATGATTAATTCAATTTTCCAAGTTGACAAATTAAATGTAGAAAACAAAATCATCCTACATTTTTCATCAATAGTAATATGAAATAATTCAGAAGTTACTAATAAAACGAGTCAAATGACGTTCACAAAGTGATCAGTAAATAGTCATTATGTACAAATAAATTATTGTTAATGAACTGTCAACTCATTAACTATGTGGAAAATATGACACATTAGTGATTAATAGTGCTGAAATAAATTATTTTTCGACTGTTAATAACCAAAACGAAAATCACTATCAGTGATTAATGGAAGTTGTCACAACCCATGACCGTGGGGCGCCAATATAACATTGGATGTTATGTTAAACAGTTCGTTGGTACTTAGATTGGTATTATTGAACGATGAGGTGCGAATACTTTTTTATTTCAAGAATAATTGATTGACAACTTCAAAACAATAAATTATATCATGTGATATCTCAAATATGCTCGCTTCTATGGAAACACTAAATTCTTCAATACCTAGTGTGAGAGGCATTTAGTGGTAAGGCAGACATGAAAGGGTTGTCCTTAGGCCGGTTCTAGGTCATGGGTTGTGACAGTCCCCCCCCCTCGTGTTCTGCTCTCGACCCGAGGAAGAACTACGTAGCTACCGAACATAAACCAGTTGTGGAGATTCGCAAATGCTATGGTAGTAGCAGCCTACGCTACGTAGTTCTTCCTCGGGTCGAGAGCAGAACACGAGGGGGGGACTGTCACAACCCATGACCTAGAACCGGCCTAAGGACAACCTTTTCATGTCTGCTTTACCACTAAATGCCTCTCACACTAGGTATTGAAGAATTTAGTGTTTCCATAGAAGCGAGCATATTTGAGATATCACTTGATATAATTTATTGTTTTGAAGTTGTCAATCAATTATTCCTGAAATAAAAAAGTATTCGCACCTCGTCATACCAATCTAAGTACCCACGAACTGTTTAACATAACATCCAATGTTATAAAGTGAAATCAATTATTTTTCGACTGTTAGTATCCAAAACCATGAATTCCGATATGATGACATTTAATCACTAACAAACAAATTGATGTTTATGTTTATTAAGAGAATGTCATCAAAGCTTGGAAACAGACATTGTTTACATCATTCTTGAAATTTCCTGATACTCTTATTGAAGTATTTTTCATCACAAGTAATAACTATTTTTCAACTTTTCATGATTAATTAGCTCAGCGTCAGATGACACGAATATTAATCTGTTACGACATATTATTCAACATGTGATAATAATCTCTAGACTTCTCTAGCGATGGAAAGTGCCTGAATATTATTATTGGTAAATTTCAATTATTGGTTAATAGCAGCTCCACAAAAAATCTCGTGTTGGGATTATGGAAATGAATTAGGATGAATACTCTGGCCTGTAGCAAGGTCGTTTTTGCAAGATTACGGTGTTTCATCATTGAAATTATTCAGAAGATATTAAAACTAATGCGAAATCGCCCAGCAGTAAGATAGGCGATATGTTAAATCACATTCTGTCCGCTGGCAGCGTTGAAATATATATCGAAATACAAGATGGGCCAAACGAAGTCATCCGATGTTGTTTGGCTCTCATTTTTTTTTCTAAATAAAAAACTTCGATTCTGTTGTTACGATTTATGTTCAATAAACATAATCAAAAAACAGAATCGAAGTTTTTCATTTAGAAAAAAATGAGATCATCGGATGACTTCTTTCGGCCTACCTGTTATATTGAAATAACTATTCAGTACATGACAAACTTCTTCAAATATGACATTTCTTTGTCCAATATTTGATGGAGTCTGACCAATAGAAAACATACAAAATAGAGTTGAATCACTAAGTTTGTAGAACAACCGGTAAGTTATATTTACCAACCTTGTTGATTCAAAGTTGGTAGAACTGATGATTATTCGCATAGGAGGTTGCCATGATCAGAAAACGTGGTAAGGGGAAGTCATCAATCCATCGAAAATTTCATTTCGGAGTCATGGGAATTTATATTCTATACCATTCTTCAAGTAGAATTGCCATTCCACTTGTAATTTAGGATTATGAATTCAGTTCAATGACACCAACATTAAATTTCGCCTCTGATCAAGGCAACCCTCCTCTACACATACAAATTAGTTCTACAAACCTCCTGTTTAATTTTGCCATTTATCGAAAAATTTCCTAATTCCTGGACTATAAACCCTGAAATACGGGGTATTCCAGCTTTTATTAACCATCTATAGTTATAGTGATACCAAACCATTATGGGACGCCGTAGCCGAGTTTGTCTATGCGCTGAAATTCGCTAGATAGCCGTTCACGATGCGAAGGTACTATCGATTCGAAGCCGGCAATCGGCTGAGCATTTTTGTTTAAAATGTATGATTCATGGTTGTAATCCTGGCAGCACCTCGATGCCCTAGAAGTGGTTCGAATTCCACTATAAGCTGTAGGTCCCGCTCTTCCTAACCCCGCACAAGTTTCGACTTCTGGGGAGTTGGTTCCCAACTTTGAAGTGGCGATATACAAATTTTACAAAATTTTACACACTATCAGAAGAAAAAAACTTGAATGGGAGCTGATGTGAGATGAGGGGCTATTTAAGGAGTCTATTATCGAATATCAAGAACTTCTGGTCAAATCTGTACAGGAATAATCTATAATTTTTTTTTCAATCTTCCTGAATTCCCTTTGAGATTTTGAATAATACCAAAAAAGGCCTAGACAATGTCAGTCGCTTTAGATCCGAAAATTTTCAAGTGTCAAAAATAAAATATCAGAAGTACTAACTGAAATCTCCTTTTATGTGATATGATCCAAGTATTTTGATAAATTGGTGTCAATTCACCCATTAGACTTATTATTTACCAAAAATAAAATTTAAAAACAGTGTATTGATAGAGGTGGGCAATAGTGATTTTGGATTATCGATTATCGATAATCACAATGCATCGATATTATCGGTTTATTGATATTATCGATATTATCAAAGTTATAGATATTATGCGATAAATCGATAATTTTTTACACTGTGCACTGTTGCCGCTTCTACTAAAAAGTAGTAGCAACATCGATATTTCAAATAGAACACCCCGTATTTTATCGAATTTTCAAATTCTCCCTGAAGAGCTGATTTTATCGATATATCACATTGGGGTCTATCGAAAAAGATATATATACAGGGTGTATCTGAATAACACCGAAAAAATTCAAGGTCCGATTCCTTGTGATATTTCAGGAAATAAAGTTCATATGGACATGTGTCCTAACTTGCTACGTTTTCGAGATACAGGGTATCAAAATTTCCATGAAAAATCGTTTTTTATTTTATTACTCAATTGTCTTTCCATCAATTTGAATAAAACCTTGTGGTTTTGTGAATAGTCATATGGAGCTTCTTCTGGTGCAATTGGATTCGAAATAATATTTCCAGTGGCGTCACAGCGAAAAAATTTATAGATATTTATGGTGAAATTCATTGTACTCCAAGGGTTCTTCTGAGTTTCATATTTTTATTGGATTGAACTATTGAAATAACAACTTTTTTATCCTTTGTGTAATTTTTGTATCTAGCTTATTTTTTGAGGAAACAATAAACACTCGATTTGATTCCAAATTTTACTGTAGGTGTTTTCAAGACTACCATTGAGATTACTCAATAACCCCAATCATCATTTTGAAATTTTAGGGCTTCGTCAGTCTGCAACCATACTGAATTTTGGCACCATGAAAGTTTATACAGGGAGGTTAAAAATAAAAACAATTGCTACTTCCAACTTCAACATCCTTTATCTCAAAAACGGAGCAAGTTAGGATACATGTTTATATGAACTTTATTTGCTAGAATATCACGAGGAATCTTGAATTTTTTCGGTGTTATTTAGATACACCCTGTATATCATATATATGAGATATAGGATGTTCAACATCGAAATTTTTCAACTTTAGGATTTTTTTGAGTCGAAACTATTCATTATCGGTCAAAACGGCCACATGTCTCAATTTCAACTTTTGATTCACTATTTACTGATATTTAATCGGAACATATACAGGGTGGTTCAAGATTCAGAATTCTGATCACCCTGTATCTGTTCCAATTGAATATCAGTAAATAGTGAATCAAAAGTTGAGATAGGGACATGTTAGCCGTTTTGGCCGATAATAAATAGTTTCAACACAAACAAATTCTAAAGTTGAAAAATCTCGATTTTGAACACCCAATATCTCTGTAATCATTTCCGATAGACCCTAAGTGTGATGTATTGATGAAATCAGCTCTTCAGGGAGAATCTAAAAATGCAATAAAATACAGGGTATTTTATTTGAAATAACAAAGTTGTTGCTACTTTTTTATAGAAGAGGCAAAACTGCATTGCTGAAAATATTTTAAATGAAGAGAGCGTATTCTAAAATAAAAGCATTTTCATGGATTTCTTCCGACTGATTCTCGATATGGAGGCAATGAAAGCTCTTAGTGACATACCCATACTACATTCCAAATAAGAAGACAGTTGGTAGCGCTTCTTCTGAAGGAATGTTTATACTGACGAAATAAATGTATGTCGCCTAATCCAAAATGATGGAAAAATTTCAATGTACGAAATATTATCGGAATTTTATGATATATGGACATCTTCCCATAAAGAAAACTTCAATTTAGACCATGTCGTAAGTCATAATATTAGGCAAGTGAAATATTGACTCCGATATTATGAAAGAGAAGGTCAACGCTCCATATAACTTCCAATGCTGTCTTCTTAGTTGGAATGGACCATAGCAATCTGTGCCATAGCAGTAGGCGATTACAATCAACAATCAAGGGATATTTGGAAAATTATCGAAAAGTATAGAAAATAATCGAAAATTTTATCGATGATTATCGATAGTATTGGTATTATCGATAAACCGATAATTTTTTGTCTGAATTTTAATCGATATTATTGAAAATTAGCTGTTAATTATCGATATATTGATAAATTTGCCCACTCCTAGTATTGAACAACATTTTTGGGTATTATGAACCAAATTTATGAGATGGCCCCATAAAAAATCTAGAGGTCAAATAAAGGTTAAGGAAATAATGTATTTTGGGTCAATATCAATTTTGACATTTACTTGAATGAAGAATTTTAGGAATTTGAGAAATATTTTCACGGCATTTTGTAGCATCGTTAAAATAAAATTCTGAAATGTTGAAATATTCATACAATAACCACAAGTCCTGATACTTGACAACATACCTGTCATCATTGCTTATTTCCAAATTCCCTTCCATTCTAGGAAGCATTATTACAGTTATAGTAGGTAGGGTAGACTAATAAAATATGGGACACTCTGTATATGATATCTTGCACAAATGTGAATCACTGCTCACACCATCCTCATAAATCCTTCAAGTTAATTATTTTGATCCCATTATATTGAGACCACACTTGAGTCTGAGTGAGTACCTAGCAGTGATAGGTGATATTGGACATAATATCCACCTGACAGACAGATATCAGTAAGGGATTGTTGGCTATTCAACAACTAATTACTCAAAATTTACAGCAGAGCAGCTTCAACTGTACAGTCATCATCAGTGCATACCTGTGATGAGCAATGACAATTTTGAAGAATCAATTCATAAAATAATTGATAAATAGGAGAAACTGATTTATATTCTACAAATTGAAAAAAATATATATTGAGTATATTATATTTAGTATAGTGCTCACACCATACAACAGCAACATGGTCTCTAAAGACAAGAGTACATTGTAAGTCCCATTCAGAAACTATTTCATAAAAGCAGCTGCTAAGGAAATTTAATTCTTGAAGAGCTTGATCTGATTATTCTAAAAAATGTATGGAATAGTTTTCACTAGAGTTATTATTAGGAGTTAGTAAAGTCAATTAGTCAATAATATACTTGTCCAATGAAAATTTGGCCATGGAAAATTCTGAAAAATAATAGATAGGTATACAAGTTGATTTCATGAGGAATCTGTACCTTCTAGATCATTTTAATTGTTTCATAAGACAATTGTCTGAGATAGGTACCTATGGATGAGCTCATTTCAACTTGGTAGATAGGTATACATTTTTTTATATCTAGGACCAGAACATCCTGGACATCCTTGTATTCTCAAAGCATTAACAATAATTATTATAAACTGAAAATAAATATGAAATAAATAAATGGACCAAAAAAAAATTCAAAATATTCTATTATACGTATATACAAGGCCTACTAAAATGCACTGAAAAACTGGATGACTTATTGCATTGAACATAACAATGAATGCTCCTAAAAAAAGTTCTTCTTTCATAATTTGATTTTATTCATGTGTCATGTGATCCACTACCTAGCTATATAATTCAAAGAAATCATGATTTTTTTTAATGATGAAAAAATATTTTACTGCAGTAAGTACAGATTATTTTCTATTGGTAGGTACTCCACCCATGTTAAGATTTTCTTTGAGGACCAAATTAGAAATTTTTCATGGTTTTCCACAAAACTAAAAAAATAGGTAAGAAGGAAGATAAGAACATATATGAGTATTTAATTAATTAATTGACAATTGAGACATGCAACATTATAATTCCATGGACCATTGGTCATTTCTAATTTAATCATCGAAATTATTGGAGCAGCTTCAGCAAACAAATGAATCTTCGTTCAAAGTCTGTTCACGTGGCGGACATTCCTTGCTGAATGAAATATTGTAAGCCCTACTTGTAAGCTAAACATAATAATATGTCAAAGTTACCTTCTTCATAGTAATTCAAGCAACTCCACTTTCACATGAGAATGTGACTCTACACAAGGCAAGGAAATTAGTGTGACATGAAATTAGAAACGAGAATGAGATAAAATAAGGTGAGGCTTTTAGGACTGTGACACTTTCCGGAATGCTGCTTTTACCAAGTGAAAACTAGGAATACCTATAAAGGTATAAAGAAATACCTATAATTCCAGGGATACTGTGATACACACTTTCACTGTTACTATACCCTTGTACAACAGGTGACTGGTGAGCAACCAGAATGTGACTGACATGTTTCATGACAATTCATGACTGACATAACTGAAACTGAGAACACCTGTGTTCTATTTTCTTAAATAATCATCGTACTTTTTATCAATTCCTTAAATGTATCCACTGTTTTTCTGATATTATGCATAGAATATAAGAACAAAGATTGATAAGAATAAAGCATGATCCCATGATCATCTCATATTGAAGATAGGACAAAGAAAGCAAGATGGCTGACAATGAGGCCACAGGGGAGGCTGATGGTCATGATTTATTAATAATAAAATTGAAATGAGAACTACGCTATTTCCATAATATGCGAATTTAAATATTTCAGCGAAATTCCAACATTTCCAACATCGTTATAAGAAATATGTCTCTTCCTGAAGGTAGATACAGGATATAAAATTGAAGTGAAGCAATTAGTTAGCACCTTACCATTTTTTTTTCAAATCCTACAACGGAGCACTGGAATGTTTTCACTCATATAGTCCTAAAATTGTGAGTTCACGTAAATGTCTAATGATAATATACACGACTTCAGATTGTATTGTAATAACCATAAGATGGGACAACGCCCTGATCCTCCATTATGTTATACAACGCAATAAACGATGCAAACTTAAAATAACGTCATAATACTAATTCTAAAATATGTGCCAATATCGTACAGACTATAAGGCGCAAGTTATGCGACTTTATCGAACAAAATCGTCAAATCTAACGCAATTTAATAAAATTTATCGCGACAACGGAGATACAGCAATATGCTCGAAACCCTTTCTAAATTCTAAGCGGAAATGAATCATGAATCAATAAATTTTCGTTGCCTAGAGGACGCTGAAAACAGAGGAATTCGTCACCGGAAATGCGTTATGCGCACAATGTTGCCACATTGCTAACTGCATTGACGTTTACAAGATAATAACAAGAATGCATGCAGACAGTTCCCGCATGGTCATGCCCTATTTTGGCTTCCAACATAATAACAGAATATATATATATATATTTTCTACGAACGTCAAAAAATTACAAAGTTTGCGCATTGATAACAATTTGTGGAGTGGAACTTTTTTTAAGTTTTCTACGTTACCACGATACCATGTGCGAAGCAGTGCGCGAAGTAAAACGAGTCAAGCCAGTTCAACACAATTTTTTATTTTATGTTAAGCATATTACTACTTCAGAAGTATATTTTCGACGTTTGTTGTTCTTGATCACCAAAGTAGTATTTCGCGCACTAGATAGTGACTAGATACAAAACCAACTATTCTGCACAACGCGGGAGACTACTTCTTCTAAACAATTTAGCCTAGCTCGGCCTTAATGAACCATTGTTCCTAAAGAATATATCTATTGAAAATGTTCGGGAGATCAAAAGTATGTTCATGCTCGTACGAATTCCGTCAAATTTATGCAAATAAAATGGCAACTGCAAATATCGCAATGAAGTTGAAATATTTGAACATTTTTACGAATTCGGATGGAATCATTACCACATAAAATGTGTAGTTATTTTGATAACTTCAAAATTGGGGAATTAGAGAGCGGACAGCAGAGGTCGAGAAAGACGAGACGCAGGATGGATTCTCTGGACGAATTAATTTTAAAGTATCATTTGTATCGTCTCTATAGAACTAATGATGTATCCAGAAGCATAAAACAGAGCTGTACTGTTCGAAGCATTCTTAAATGCCGAATAATGAATATTTCAATTACTTTCGTGTAACGTGCCTTCAATCTGATGAATTTCTATCAATGGTGGAACTAGAAATTAAGAAATTAATATGACAATAACAGAACCCTTATCTCCTGCATATTTTGTCGCATGAGTATAAACGTCGAATTCTGTCCGGAACTTCCTATTTTGCGATTCGCATAAATTTTGCGGAATTCGTACAAGCATGAACATACCTTGAAGCGCTCTCTGGTGCCTGGCTATGTCTATATAATTGGACAGTGATATAAAAATAAAATTATAAGTTTTCAACGAAATTGAATAAAATCACTCTTTATCCTAAACGCACTAGCCTGCTTTTGGCTTTCAATATTTTTGGAGGAAGGAAAACCAAAATGAAGTGAAAAATATTGATGAAAAAAAAATTGATAAACCAAAGATGATTTCAGATAGTGATTCTAACAAGAGACCTTCTGACTGATAGTCAAAAAGGTTAACAACTAGACCACTTGGGTACCTAAATTCGATGCATACGAGAGAGTAACAACAAAGAAGAGCAAAATATAGACATAGACGAATACTAGAGAGCGCAGACTACCACTTCAACCAATCTATAACCTAACTCTGCACTTTTTCTAAACAATCTAGCCTCACTCTGCCTTCTTTGAGGAAAATATAAAACTTGTCCCCCGCAAGGAGTGATCCTCGAGGAGAAGGCGTGGCCAGCTAACGATAGGCTCACTGTACCACAAACGATCTCTACATTTGGTAAAAAAAAATTCAATCTCGCATTCTGTGTCATCGTGTGCACAGATGGTGCACAGTCGTGCGTTGGAAGCCAGAATATTGGATGACGGTGCAGACGTCTGGAGGCACTCGTATGATGACGACAGTTGCTGTGCCTTCAAATAGTTCATTTCAGGGTTGATGCAAACTGACGTATTTGTCATCTTAACAGGGTACGGACAATGAAATGTATGTAAACAACGTTCATTGGGTACGGACAGACTCGTCTCCTCTCACTCTAAAGTGTTTGTGAAACAGTTATATAGTTCCATCCTTATTCAATTCTGGGGATAATCACTAGATTTTTGACATTTGTTGTTTTTTAGGTTATATTGAGGTCATTGGCGTAGCATACGTAATTTCCATATGGAATTTCTGATTCAACTATACCAAGATATAGATGAACAAACCTCTAGTTTTAGAGTTTACTACTCCACCATAATCTTAGCGAGGTAAGGAACATATAAATTGTATTGGAAGCTTAATATATTTCAACAAAAGAGACTGATCTTAATACCAGGGTTGACTGAATTGACTGAATGAATTCTGATTTCAAGCTGAGCAATAGTTTCTATGAGCTGAATATGAGCTGAGCCTTATGATTGAGAAGTGGTGAAAACCTCGATGTGGGTATCTAAACTACTGTACTCATGTCATGTGTGCTGAATATATTTTCGGAAATCCAACTCGGAGAAGAATTTATGGAGTGACTAATATCACACTAGTTTAAAACTTCGTCTAGGACAAAAAGTAGGCTGATAAAAAGTAATACGTAAAATGTACAGGAAAATAAAGAATAGAATATTTTCAGAATAAACTTTACCCCCATGTTATACATATGATTTTTCCGTCTCCCTTATGTAAAGTCATTTTCAAATAATTTATTGATGAAAGTTGCAAAGAAGTAGGTATCAGTATAACTTATAGGCACGTTATTTTCACTCTTGCATCCTACATATTTTCAATTTGTGGTAGAGTAATAATTATATAAACTGATGTTGAAAGTGCAGTTTTGAGCACTATGGTTATTTGAATACCACTAGAAGTGAGATCTAGAGCCAATGCAATTTTCGTGAAATTTTCATAAAAAACATTATTATACAGAATTCGTACTTGGCTGATTACAATTAATTTCATCAACTTCAGTGACCCACAATTTGGTTCGAAATTTTATTTGCTATTTTGTGAGAGATTGCTGCACATACCCTTCAGCGATAATCGTGGACTTCCAAGCAAGAATGTCTCCTCCAGAATTAGCGACTAAACTTGCCGAGGTTCTTCTGAAACTGCCCGGTATAATTTATAACATTGGGCAGTTTTTAAAAACTTTGCATTTTTGTTATGAATTTTTTCAGATACCAATCTTTAATAGAATCAGATCATAATTAGAAAATTTCTTTCGCTATATAATGTATCCGTCATCTTGAATTTTCCAAGTTTGACTAAACAATCATTATCCCCAACCCCGGAAAACCTCAGATACCTTCCAATTTCGAATAGAATCGGATCATAATTACAAAACTCGTTCGCCATATGATCTTCCTCAACAAGTAAATACCCTGTACATAACTATTTATCAAAATTCTGAATGATTTTCTGTAGAGCCCATGGATGTGACGTGACAGCAATGTCAGGGATGCCAATAGACAAAACTAAAGTCTCTTAGATCATTAAAAAAGAATGCAGCTATGATCTTCCGTACCCTGTTAAGATGACGTTAACGTCAATTTCCATCAAGGGACCCTAGATGAGTTCCATATATTATCTACTACTCACCGGCAAAAAAAACAGGCAGCAAATAGTTTAGCCAAATTGATCGTCTTGTAACTTTCTTAATTCTTGTCCGATTTTGGTGAAATTCCGACCAAATCGTAGATTGATGTTTCGAAATATCAACCTGAATTTTAGTTAATGTTCCGCAGCACGACAGCATGCTACTAATTGAATGACGAGAGACATTTGTATAACGATGAACAAACCTCTCGCTTGGTTTTGTTTGGTTGCCGTGGAAGTGTTTTTTAAAATTGCCATGTGAATATCGAATACATATACGGAAGAAAAATTCCCTTTTTCATTGGTACCCTACTATAAATATTCAAGCGTGTTTAATCCATACGTTTTAATAATTATCGATCTGACAGGAGTACCATATGTAATGTCAAATAGAATATCACTAACAATTGCTAGCTGTTATCTCTTTTTCATGGGTATTTCCATTTCTATGGTATTTCCATATTTATGATCTCAAAGTGTACCTACCAATTATTGAGATGTTTATAAGTGTCTAAAAGGCATCTTACTACCAATGAAAAAAAAAATGGCGTTAAGTATTCGTGGATAACTGATCTTTCAAACACTTGCTTAAACATTCCGGCAGGCCACCGTGCTCGTAAAATCGCGCGTGTTTGAAATACTTCAATATCTAGATCCACCGAGATGATTTTTTCTACAAACGTCAAAAAATGACAAGGTTCGCGCAATCGCGAATCATTTTTGACGTAGGTATGTAGAAAAAATGTTGTTTGCAACTCGAGCGCCAAATACTTTGGTCATCTCTACTATTCGCCAAATACTTTGGTCATCTCGACTATTTTTTTAACTCGGCTACGTCTTGTTAAGATCATGTCAGATCTCGATCACCAAAGTAGCATTTCGCGCTCTAGATACAAAAATGACTACATAACCGGTGATGAAATCTTCGTAAAATAAGACTTTTTGAATAAACATATGTCCAAATACGCTCCATTAAAATATAGCTGATTGATTTTACAAACATGCTCCATGAGTGTGATGAAGAAATTTCTGCTGGTGGGGGAACCGGTTCGATCCGATCTATGCGTCCCACTCATGGAGCATGTTGAAAAATCCGAGGAAAGATCAAACAGTTATATCTTCGTATTCGTTTGAGAAAATCCCGTCAAACTTGGAATATCCTTGGATTTGTAATCATAATCACTAAACCGATCATGAAATGAAATACAAGGTGTTCAATTTTAAAATCGAAAATAATTACAGAAAAATGTGTCCCCCGCCAAATGAAAATCGGCCAGTCCGAGCGGTTTTTCTTTAATATTGATTGAAACACAAGGGACAAGACTTGGGTGGAAGATTTTCTATGGGCCACTCAGTATATTCTAAAAAGATACTTTTTACCATTGTCTGCTAAATATGGACAAAAAATCTAGTGAGCTGTAACTACCTCTTTCCTAATATGCCTGTTTTCTATATAGTATAGTATAGAAAAATGTATTTTGATGCATGTCAACAAATTAGATATTTTAAGTAAGTATATATGTATTGACACAAATACAACATAAAAAGAAAATGAGTACATTAATAAATATACATCATATATGGCATTCCTTTCACCTAATTAGATGATGACGTCACAGTTTTCAATATAAAAACCAAGATGACTATACAAAACTATCACATTCACATTGTCATCATTATTTTTACATCTACTGTCTACACATAAAACACCTATGATTAAAAAAAGTATGGCACAAATATATTTTCTATATATTATTGTCCTGCATTAATAAAAATTGTATAGTGAACAATGGAACCTAAATCACAAAATACACTAACTACATATTGAAAGTCACCGATTTTTGTGTACCATTAGTCTTGATACTATTCAATAGAGCTGCCTCATAACTTTGCAAGGCTTTATTAACTTTTGCAAATATAATGTTCAAGTTGTTATCATTCTCTGCAGGTTGAAGTGTTGATAATGCTTGATAAATTTGATTCATAGATGTCAAGATATCCACTTTGGTAATTTTTTTCACAGATTTCTTCATATCAGTCCAAGTTAAACTATTCACAAAGTCACTGATATTTTCAAAACCCTTCAAATCAATAGAATCCAGTAGCACAAAGGCTTGTTTTTGTTCAAGGGGATTCCTGATTATCAAAGAATCTGAATTGAATGTGCAAATGAGCCCATTTTTGCAACACCAGTTCTTAATAAAGTCCAGGAGGTCACTATCACATAATCCTACAGTTTCTTCAGTGAGTACTCCTTCCAGCTCCTCAAGAAAATTAGTTCTGTATGGAGATAAATTAACGTTAGTATCCACCGTTTTCATAACCCTTACTTTAGACTCAAGCTCTGCTTTGTACTTTTCAGCATCAGCCAATTCCTTCAGCTGAGTCCTCTGAGTCTCCAGAAATCGTTTCTCCCAGTCTTTCTGTGCTTCCAGCAATTTCGACTCAGTATCAAGCAACTTATGTCTCAGTTCTTCAAGTTCTTCGTTGCTACTGTCATTGACCATTATCAGAGAGGATGAGGAGAGAGAAGTCCGCTCAAAATCTTTTCTCAGTGCTCGTAACCTTTCAACTTCTGAACGAAGCTCTCGAATCAAACGGTCATGGGGATTTTCGTTCACTCTGGCTCGGTTTATTATGGAACGCGCCTGACAAGCATACCTTAAAGTGGCTAAAGTCTCATCTAAATGGGTGTTTGCTGGTGAAATGGTTGCCAACATAGATGTTAGCGAATTTCCACCCAAACTTTCCTGGAATGAAACAGAAGCATCAGTAAAGAAGTGTTAAATTTATGAGCTAGTTTGATTATATTTTTTCATAATATGAAGTTTTGAAGTTGGTAGATGGTTAAAAGGTAGTTGAGTATAAATATGAAGAAACCCTCTGTGACATATACGACAGTCATCTAAAAAGTATCACTAATGATAATTGATTTTAAATTCGAAAATAAGATGATCTTATGGATATATACCCGCAGATAGAAAGACCTGAGTACCAGACCATTTGAAAACACATGCATATTGTTATATAGTTGTAATAGAGTGATCTGTTTTAATATATGGAATCCCAAGTGATAATAAATAACATAAAGTACAATATTTGACATGGTGACAGCGTAGAACTCAGAGAATTTGTATTTCAAGAATAAAACTTGTGAAGAGAAAAGTGAGTCGAGTTGGCTATTTAGTGGCTGAACAGCTATCAGCCACCCGAACTGCACCTATGCACGGTACAAGTTATACACCCTAAAACAAGAACCAAACCAGACACTGGATGAATTTGTAACGTGTCTTCGAATCCTATTAAAAGACTGTCAATTGGGTGGCCTCTCAGATGATTTGATAACACTGCCTAATAATCAGATGCAAGGATGACAAATTGAAAAGCAAGCTCCTCAATGTGCCAAATTTTACCCTTAATAATGCCTTGGACATTGGTAGCCTGCCGCTCGAATGAGGTAGATCAAGTAGAAGAAGAAAACTTCCAGGAAGATGAATTGCGTGATAAGGAAAATGATTATTTTGTATTTTGAAGATAAAGAAGAAGTATACCAAATAAGTGCGCAAGAAAGTAATAATGACTGGCATGAACTTGTGACAATCAAATCGTGCAATCAACATAGTTTTTCATTTCAGTCATCCTTGAAGTTAGAAAATCGGAAAATCATAACATAACCTGCAACTTCCTTATGAAAGACTTGCCATGGCTGAATCACGCATTACAAGAAAGGTCACGTTGGCCAAACTTTCGAATATGCCTTTTTGAAACGTCTTAATTCGTTTCTTGATAAACATTCTGTCTTGAGTAATAGGCAGCATTTCGTTCTGAAAAATCTACGAACACAGCTATGTTCTCATTACTGAACAAAACCATAGGATACGTTGATTCAGGTGAATGTCCAGCGGTAATTCTTTGTGATCTAAGTCGAGCTTTCGACTGTGTCAACCATCAAAAACTGAGGTCGAAATTAGAAATGTATGGAATAAGAGGCGTATGTCTTAGTTGGTCCTCGTCATTTCTTCACAATCGAAAGCAATTTGTTTCCTTACAAGTAAAGTACATTGATGAGTGGCAAGGGGCAAGGGGTTGGGTGTTTTGGCTGGTTCAAGATTCAGAATTCTGATCACCCTGCATCTGTTCCTCCGATTGAATATCAGTGAATAGTAAATGAAAAGTTGAGATAGGGACATGTGAGCCGTTTTGGCCGATAATGAATAGTTTCGGCACAAACAAATCCTGAAGTTGAAAAATCTCTATTTTGAACACCCTATATCTCTGTAATCATTCCCGATAGACCCCAAGTTTGATGTATTGATGAAATCAGCTCTCCAGGGAGAATCTAAAAATGCAATGAAATACAGGGTATTATATTTGATATAACAAAGTTGTTGCTACTTTTTGATAGAAATGGCAACACTGCATTGATGAAATTATTTCAAATGAAGAGAGTGTATTCAAAAATATAAGCATGAATATTTTCATGTATTTCTCCTGACTGATTCTCGATATAGAGATAGTGTAAGCTTGTCGTGACATACCCTGTATGTTTCGTACCGTTTTTTGTATTTTTTCCGATCGAGGAATACTCTCTTCTGATTTTCGTGCTTTCTATTCGAAACTATTTTTTCCGATCAAGAAATGCTTTCTTCTGATTTTTGTGCTTTCTGTTCGAATCCAAAAAGAGAGCATTAAAAATCAAAATCCTCTGAAATTGAGAATTGACATTATCTCTCAAATCGAATAGAATAATATGATGTATTATGATATAAAAACATAACTTACCAATATGTTCAGAATTGAAATGAAAATTGAAATGTATAGAAGTATACTTGTATGAACTCTGATCTTGATGAGCTTGGAACTTCAGAGGATTTTGATTTTTCATGCTCTCTTTTTGGATATTCAACAGATATAATTCAATGTTCGACGTGGCAAATAGCCAGGAAAGTAATTGTTTTCTGTTGAATATTCAGAATCATATCATATGCATATCTTTATATGAAGGAGAATGCAAATTCTCCACTTCAGAAGATTTTGTTTTCAAGTTCTTATCGTGTGTGTTCAATAGATGTAATTCAATATTCGTCGTGGCATATAGCCAGGACAGTAGTTGTTGTTCACATGGAGAATGCGAATTCTCAATGTATTTCTTTACATATATATATCCATTTTTTGTGTTCATAAGTATATCTGAGAATATTCCTTTTCAATACTTTCACCCAATCAAGGGGTTCAAACTTGAACGATGGAAACTTGTTATTTTTATAGACCTCAATCGCAGATTCTTGATTAGGTTTTTCTCAATTCAGAATTTCTTTCCACGTCCTGTATGATGAATGTCAATTTATCATACATCCAAAATCTTCCATATCGTTAGTGATTTTCGAAAAAAATAGCACCTTTATACAAAATATCTAACCCCTCCCCCCCGTTCAATTTTACTATCATCGTTAGTCATAGATAAATCATTTTTTGTTCGGAAATTAATCGGTTAGCAGCATGATTCAACTTATTAGTCATTCATTCGGGGGACCAGGTGGTAAATCAAGACAGTATTATATTAAATGTAATCACGCACGGTCGTATTTTGTGATCGACATCGAAAAATACGCGAAAGAAATTATTTATCGTTCCAAACTGAGTGTTCCCTAAGAACTTAGTGATCGTATTGATTCGTATATAGTGTTTTTGTATTCCTCATTCGATTCAATAATAATAATATCGGGATCATGTGTTGTTCTAGTGTTTCGTGTTGTTTCATCAAAGCCTCACTTTTTTCACGCTGGTGAGTGCAGAGGAACTCTCTCAATTTTTCCTCATATTTCTCTGAATTCATTTAACTTCATTACCCTATACAGGGTATGTCACGACGAGATCTTTAAATCGAGAATCAGTCGGGAGAAATCCATGAAAATGGACTTTAGGATTTTTTTGTGTCGGAAATATTCATTATCGGTCAAAACGGCTCACATGTCCCTATATCAATTTTTGTTTCACTATTTACTGATATTTAATCGGAACAGATACAGGGTGATCAGAATTCTGATCAAATGCATATTTTCATGGATTTCTCCCGACTGATTCTCGATATAGAGATAGTGTAAGCTCGTCGTGACATACCCTGTATGTTTCGTACCGTTTGTTGTATTTTCTCCGATCAAGGAATACTTTCTTCTGATTTTCGTGCTTCCTGTTCGAAACTGTATCTTTTAAGAACTGACCATCTTCAATAACTGTGATAGAGAACGTAATCTGGATTTTGGCAAAATCTTCATCTATGGTCAGGTCATAACTTCTGAACCACTGTGTATAATCGATTCATACTTGGTTGGTATATTCAACTCATATTTCTCTTCAAAACCAAATATGGATCGAATTTAGAATCCAGATCCGTCTTCAGGCAAAACAAAAATCTTCTTTTTTTAACAGTGCGCATCCAATTTGAAAAATAGAATTTTTATTGAACTCGTTATTCAAAAAGTCCAATTTTATTACAAAAAAATAACCGGTCCTCAAATTTTAACTTAATTAGAGCCGAATTAGGAATTAGGTGAACTATCCATAGATTTCGTTCCATAGAACAATTTGTCAATTATTTTAGATATTTTCGAGTGCTCATTACATTTTCAAACACACAAATAAATTAAGTATTTTACACTCTTGAATTTTTGTACGTAGATTCATATTCTGAAATTATTTATTATAGTATTGTCAGTAATTTAATATACATACAGTATGGTGGAAATGTATGGAATAAATTCATTATCTCTAACGCATATGGATTTGAAGAAAAATCCTGAGACAGGTCGATTTTTATTTTCAAATTGACACTTCTTGGTATACATACGGAGTTTGTAACGTCATCCGCGTAGTTGTGGTGACGTCATCGATTATTTTTTTAAATGGAAACATCCCCTTTTTATTTTATTTTTCGGAAGGTATATTCATTGTCTATCCAACCATATACTGATATTAGCAAAATAAAGTAATGCAGGGTGAGAAAAAATTATTAATTATTTCATATTTACAACGAAAACAATTCGACCTGTATACATCAGAAACAATGTATATTGTCATTCACACATTCACATCATTGTATCATTGCAGAAGGTCACCAATTCGAACATTTATTGTAATGGTTTCCGAGAAGTGTCAATTTGAAAATTAAAATCGACCTGTCTCAGGATTTTTCTTCAAATTCATATGCGTTAGAGATAATGAATTTATTCCATACATTTCCACCGTACTGTATATATTATACGTCTCCGAAGTTTTTGTGATTGTTAAACACTGGAGTTCTTTCATTTCATTTATTTTTATATCTATCCATTTTGATTATTTTGTATATAAATATTTTACACTCTTGAATTTTTGTACCTACTTAGTTTTATATTCCAAAATTATTAATCTTAGTATACTCAATAATAGCTCAAACGAAATTCATACTTTTTCACCACGTGCAAGCATCGAAATGAACATATTATTATTATTATTATACCAAATGTCAATTTGGATGCGCGCTTATGAAAAGGAGACCACATTGTTCATTATTTTCCTCTTCTTTCCAGTTAACAAAACATATCTAGATATTTTGGGGAAGAATATATTTTCAGCCGAGGTTAAATTCTTTCAAATCATTAGACTTTCGAAAATAATACTGTCAGTATATCCGTGTTCAATACTTCATTCCATATGGAAATTATGATACGCCAATGACCTCAATATAACCTAAAAAACAACAAATGTCAAAAATCTAGTGTTTATCACCAGAATTGAATAAGGATGGAACTATATAGCTGTTTCACAAACACTTTAGAGTGAGAGGAGACGAGGATCTGTCCGTACCCTGTTAAGATGACTTTAGTCAATTTCCATCAAGGGACTCTAGCTTAGATAACCGTATGTGCATTTAATATGCTTTTAAACTTCTATCCAATCTCGATTCATTCATCGTCATCTACAACCTTGTTACCGACTAAAATCATAGAACGTGCTGCGAATTTTTGAAAAAATATAGAGTTTCAAAGGTCTGCGCAGATTACTCCAGACATTGTTTTTGCAAATACGGTTCTCTTTATTACCACGTCAGTATGAAGTACAAAATAACAGTGGGCAAGTACTACCTACAAACAGACACCAACTGAAGTGACCACATCTTCAGTGCAGCCTACACCTCCTTCACCATAGGGAGAAGAGAAGAAGAATGAGAGAGAGTTAGAATACCTCCAGCATACCTGAAGGACTACATGTGATTTGTGTGGTAGTGGAAATTGTGTCAGTAAGCATACACATTTCCAAGGAGTGGATATGTTTGTCTCATGAAACTGTTTATACAATAATCTGTAGATATATGTAGTTTGTCCAACATGTCTAAAATCTTCAATGGGGTTTAAATATATGTTTATACCATAATCTGTAGATATCTGTAGTTTGTCCAAAATGTCTAAAAATCTTGAAGGGGGCATGTTATATAGTTGTCGGCGGTCATGTAAACACAACAAACCCCTTGCCCCACTTCCACAATCGACTATGTAGTAAAATTCACATATAGAAGAGTTATCTGTTTTAATATATGTTCATACCATAATCTGTAGATATCTATAGTTTGTCCAAAATGTCTAAACATCTTGAAGGGGGCATGTTATAAAGTTGTAGGCGGTCATGCATGTAAACACAACAAACCCCTTGCCCCACTTCCACAATCGACTATGTAGTAAAACTCACATATAAGAGTTATGTGTTTTAATCTCGGTTTTAATATATGATTATACCATAATCTGTAGATATCTGTATAGGGAGCATGTTAAATAGTTGTTGGCGGTCATGTAACCACATTGTAAACACAACAAACCCCTTGCCCCACTTCCACAATCGCCTATGTAGTAAAATACACATATAAAAGAGTTATCTGCTTTAATATATGTTTATACCAAAGAATAGTAGGTTAGTCATATACTATAATATCTGTGATATCTGTAGTTTGTCCAAAATGTCTGAAAATCTTGAAGAGAGCATGTTATATAGTTGTCGCCGTCATGTAAACACATTGTAAACACAACAAACAAAGAGTTATCTGTTCTAATATATGGAATCCCAAGAAATAATAAATAATATAAAGTACAATACCTAACACATATGTACTGAATATGTATAGGGTAATATTTTTCGAAGATTTCAATTCAATAATCTACAAACCAGAAACTATTTTTGTTTTTTCTATAAAATAACTTCTAAATGAATGAAATGTATGCTCTTGTTGGTAGTCATCATCCAGGTTAATATCTTACAAATTGTGTATTGAAACTGAGGTAAACCAGCCATTGATGGGCCACCATGTACACAGGATAGTTAAGATTTTTATAACATGGTGATAAAGACTTGCAAAATAAGGGGACTTTTCTCAATAAAGACAACAAAGATGGAACAATAAAGTTTGATAAAAAAAAAGTTGATTATACCAGGAGTATAACATTTCCAGGGAATATGATAGCCATTATTGTGACTAGTATACTCCACTTTTTTAATTATTGATATTACTAAACTTACTCTAGCAATATACTTGTGGTTTTTACAGTACAATGTCTATAATTTCCTTTGAGAATAATCATGAAGGAATATAAGTTCTCATTCCCTCTTTAACTCAATTATTCTCATGGCATTATACTGCAGAAACTACAATATCAAATGTCATTAAGACTATCTATTGAATACAAGTATAATGTCTTAATTATTCAACCCATGTGATATTTGAGCTACAATAGAATATAAATAAATGTTCTAGAGCAGATGTTGGAAATGAGAAATGTGACAAATACAAACAAACTACTTACCCTGAGCAGCCATGTTAAAACTGAATCTCTGTAAGGTACAAACTGGTTCTTTTTTTGATCAGATAAGGCAGAAATTACTTTTCCCAATGTCAATAAAGACTTATTGATACAAACACCTTCTCTAATTTTTTCTTCAGTATTGTGTGAGTTTCCTAACCTCTCACTTCCTGCCAAGTCAACTAAGCTGACTCTACTTCTTCTGCTACTTCCTTCTTCTATCAATCCTTCAGATAGACACAATTCTATTGAAAAAATACTATGTGACCTAGATGATTTTTCATTCATGACTGTTGCAGCTGTAGCTCTATTTTTGTTTCCAATAAGTAACCAGTTTCTTAGCTCCTTGTAACTTTTGACTACATGTACGCTCAAATCAACAATATAGGGTCCCAATTCTGGGTGTTCCCTGACTTTTAAAGGAGCTCTATTCATAGCATTAGAGTTAGCAAGTAAATCATGAATCTTTTCATTGTAGATTTCAAAGTAGCTGACTTCAACACTAGCAGCACTATTCTCCAGTTTAGATATTCGATCAAAGAGATTTCTGCAAAATCTTGGTGTAATTCCAGTGAACTGCTGAGAGTCAATATCAATAATTTCACACATATTCTTTCCCATCATACTATAGCTTTTTCCTGAACCAGTCTGTCCATAAGCAAAAAGGCAGGCATTATATCCTCTGAATGCACTGTCAAGTAAAGGGTCTCCAAGGGTTCTAAAGATATCCTCTTGTGTAGCATATTTAGGATTCAATTCATCACATGACCAAAATACATGATCATAATGAAAAACATGATCTGTACTCATATTACCATTGCTACCAATTTGAGTTCTTATGATCAATTGGTCATCACACACCTTAACAATATCTACAGCTCCAATACATGCTAGTTCTCGAGAATTCATAGGTCGTATTCTTACAGCAACTGTTAAGTTACTGATTTCATCAAATTTGTCCTTACTACTACGTCTTTTAGCTATAGGTGTTTCAACTGCAACAGCACTGAAACATTCTGGAGTATCAGGTAAACTATTCAGCCTTTTTGATTTTGGAGTCATGCAAATGGGTCTTGGTGTTGAAAATTGTGTTTTTGGCGTTCGTATGACAGTTCGAGTTATTTTGTCAACCATGCCAGGAGTTCCTTTTTTCATACTGACATTTCTAGGCGTCCCAGGGGCTGATAAGGCCATGATCGATATTAATATTATTAAAATACCATCAGCTCATCAACTATTTCGAATTACAATATTTGTTTACCATCCTTTATGATACATTGATCATTAATGAACCAATAAAACTCACTATCAAATGAATACTGCTTCTACTTTCACCATAAAGAATACACAAAAATCCCCTTTTAGAGTTTTTCTGGGAGGGATGTTCTTAGGACTTTTATCATATTCTTATAAAAATTGAAATTTGGTACTGGAAACTTGAATAGTTGAAATTTAAAAACCGTTATTATGTTATATATTATCACAGGTTCACAGCTTTATAAATACACGACCAGTCAGTGACAGACATCAGACACATGACAGACATTGATAGATCAAGCTGTTGCCACGCTGTCGCGGTCGCCAAAGTCATTAGGTGACGTTACGATGACATTCAAGACTACGGGAAAACGGAAAACATCCTCTGTTCTCCCAGTAAGACATCCCGTAGTTTTTAATCAAGAATGCGGATATTTTCGTCAGAATGAAGCCAACTACCCACTACATTCCTACTCCGAGACGCCGATCTTTTGTCCTCGTATCCATTTTTCTTCCTTCTTCTCTTCTGTTCTTTGCTGCTACAAATACTACAATACTTAAAACATGGAACATTTTGCCAAAGAAAATGGAAGAAGAAGGAATTTACTATTTTGCACTTTGTGGTTAAGTATGGCACTTCTCTCAACAAATTTTAGCAAAAACTGTTTTAAAATACTGGAAGATGCATTTTTGAAGTTGAGGTAATGTATATTTCGAAGCATATTTACATTTAGGCTCAATTACATTTTTATAGTGCCACCTATACTTCACCTCAAATTCGAGATAGACATGTTTTGAACCCTAAACCCAGGCTGAGAAATCCAACTTGGTTCATCAGAAAACAGAGAGCAGTGAGTAATTGGTTTAAATTTAATACCTATACGATTATTGATACATTTTAAAATGTTACATAGGAAACAGATGAGAAACTGACTCCAGAGAATGAAGGCTTCATCAAGGAAGTTGTTCAGGACAAATACAATCAAACACAACCAGTAGAAGCTATATCAAATGTTGAGTGGACCCCAAACCTACAGAGGACTGGATTGATAGCAAGAAAAATTGGAATTTATCCATTGTGGAAGAAAGATGGAAAAAAAATCCAAACTACACTCCTTCAAGTAAATTTTAAATCCTGATTAGTTTATTCAAACATCCAAATTTCAAAATATCATATATAATTTTTCAGGTTTTAGATAATCATGTTATAAGGTACTATCCTCCTGAAGAGTATAATCCTCCAAGAAAAAGGCCTGGCCGAATTTATAACAAGAAGGCTTGTCTGCTCATGGGTGCTGAGGCAGCAGATCCTTCAACTTTCACTAAAGAATATTGTGGTATTTTCAAACAATCTGGTGTGATTCCTAAGAAAACCTTGGGAAGGTTTTTTGTCAGCCCTAATGCAGCTTTGCCTCTAGGTACTCTTGTAAATGCTATGCATTTCCAAGTGGGAAATGCTGTTGATGTCAGGGGAAAAACGTGAGTAACTTGAATCTACTAATATAAAAGGTTTATGGCACATGTAGTTTGAATAATTAATCTAGGGTAAACCAAATAATAGGGTCAAATGAGAAAACAATTCATAATTAATTTCCAAGTTAATTTCCTATTCTATGTCTTCCTGACCTACTTATATTTGTATTTACTCTTTCTGTTCAAAAGTATCTTTGTATAGGCTATACTGAAACATATGCTAGGTATCATATTATAATGCTTGAATGTGTTTCTAGACTACAGAAATTTCAACAGAAATAACATCAATTTTGTATGGCTGGGTGCATAGAAAAATATAGTTGCTGGAAGTATTATGAAAAGTTATAAAAGTCAAGTTCATTGGTACAGTTTATCCAAAGTCAATTGAGTTTGAATAAACTATAAATTCATGTTAATATTTTTAGAAAATGTTAGGCATCTCAAAATCAGTCATTGTTTGAAAGTGGAAACATGGTTACTTCAGTCAAAGAACATTATGTCTTTCTACTAAAATTTTGTATTCATATGGAATCTACTTGGTTGCTCAGAAGTCTAAAATGTCATAAGGTCAATGCCATTCATAGTCAGGTCAATGAATAGCAGTAATTCTGAAGGGTATCTCCCTTGCAGTAATGAATTTGCAAATTTGAAGTATATTTGATACCTTCATTTCATCATCTGAATAATCAGGGACTTATGAATCCCAAAAGATAGATTCTAATAATCAATATCCAAGGTACCAACAAATAGAGTTTCATGTCTGGTTTTTGGATATTTTCTGTCCAAGGGCAACCTGGTGCGCGAGGCATTGTGCAGTAAACAAACGAGGGTCACGAACGTCAAAGATGCCGACAGTAAGTGCGACTACTGGATCTTCTATACTGTGCTTCAGTGTGAAACAAGATCCAGTAGGTGCACTTACTGTCGACACCTTTGATGTTCATCACCCCCGTTTGTTTACTGCGCAACCATAATGTTATGCCACGCCCACCAGGTTGTCCTTGGATACAGAATATTCAACAATCAAACATAAAACTCCATATGTCGGAACCTTGGATATTAATTATTAGAATCCATCTTTTGGGACTCGTTAAGTCTCGGATTATTTAGATGATGAAATAAAAATAACAGATATCTAACTTAACATTAGGTGGGCACTTTGAAGGCACAAATTTCTTATTGCATGGAAGATACCCTTCAGATTTTTTGCTATACAGTGACTTGACCATGAATGACATTAACGTTTTAGTCTTCTATGCAACCAAAATTAATGTACTGTATTGTATAGGAGGCGAACGTCGTGGAAATGGACAAAATGAGTTGTCATGGAAAATATATAACAATTTATTATAATTTGTGAATGAAATAAAGTAAGGATAATATTCGCATGTTGCGTATCTTTCATTGGCGACGAGAATATTAAGAACTCACGCAAAATGGCAGAAAACCCATCATATTATGGGTATGTTCGAGAATTCAGTTTAGAAGATTGCGACTGGGTTGTTTTCAGAAGACGGTTAGACAATTACTTCCTAGTAAATGAGATCCAGGATGAGGTGAAAAAGCGAGCGATACTACTGAATGCACTCGACGAAAAAGCTTATAGGCTCATCTACAATTTGTCTATTCCAAGGACTCCCGAGGAAAAGCCTTTTATCGAAATACTCGAAACGTTCAATAAGTATTTCAAGTCTGGTGAGTCATCTTTCGTAGCAAGAGCAAAATTTTTTGGTGCTTTCAAAAATTCTATGGAAAGTGCTAGTGAATGGGCTGCAAGGGTTAGAAGCTTCGCTGTCAGCTGTGAATTCGGAGAAAACGTTATTGATATGATGTTGCGGGATCGATTTATAATCGGTTTCGAGAAAGGTCCAGTTCAAGCTAGATTGTTCAAGGAAAAGCTGACAAGTTCATTTTCGGATGTCATCGAATTGGCAGTGTCAGAAATGGCAGCTTCTGATGAATACAGGGGAGATCCGTCAGTAGTGAAGATGGAACCAGTTCATCATTTCTCAGCAAGGAAGCAGATTAGGTCGAGTGGAAACAAGGAAGCAGTGTCTCCTGGCAAACCAAAATGTTCTTGCTGTGGTCGTAATAATCATGCTGTAGAAAACTGTCGTTTGCGTAACTATTTCTGTCACATCTGCAAAGCTAAGGGTCATATGGCCCCAATGTGCCCTAAGAAGAATGAAAGCAGTGGAGGACATTCTTCAAGAGGTAATTTGGTGCAGAATTACATCGAATCCAGTTTTGATTCAGAGCAGCTATTCACCTTGAAGGATGGGAATTTAATTAACAGTCCATATATTATCGATGTCAGTATTGAGAACAGGTTTTATAAGTTTCAGCTTGATTCGGGAGCTAGCATATCTGTCATTTCAGAAAATTTTTGGAAACAATATTTTAAAAACTATATAATTTTCCCAAGCACGAAAAAGTTAAATGTTTATGATGGTAGTATTATGCAAACTCTCGGATATGTAAGATTTCTGATTTCATATAATAATATTGTGAATTCACTCAATATTTATATTATCAGGAATGGTGGACCTCCTATTCTGGGTAGGGATTTTATGGAGTTGTATAATTTGACCATTCACTCTATTCATTATCTCACTGACAAGGAGGCCATGATGAATAAATTATTTCATAAGTATGCAGAAGTATTTTCACCTGAATTGGGTACATTTAACAAAGGAGTCATTAAATTGAAATTAAAAGATAACGATTCAACACCAAAATTTTTTCGAGCGAGAGCTCTTCCTTATGGCATCAGAGATAAGGTGGAAGAAGAATTAGACAATTTAGTGAAATCAAATATTATTAAACCAGTTGATTATTCACCTTGGGCTTCACCAATTGTTCCTGTTTTAAAAAAAAATGGTAAAGTGAGAATCTGTGGTGATTTCAAAATCACAATAAATCCTCTACTGGAAATTGATCAGTATCCTTTGCCAAGAATTGAGGATCTTTTTTCCAAATTACAGGGTGGTGTGATTTTTACCAAGATTGATTTATCTCAGGCATATAATCAGATTTGTTTAGACGAGAGTTCCAAAGAGTTCGTCACCATTTCAACACATAAAGGCCTTTTTCAATACCAACGTTTACCATTCGGAGTAGCTTGTGCTCCCTCGAAGTTTCAGAAAATAATGGAATCTTCACTTCAAGATATGGAAGGTTGTATATGTTTCTTGGATGATATATTAATCAGTGGAAAGGATGAAATTCAACATCTAGTAAGACTGGAAAAAGTATTAGTTAGATTAACGGAACTAGGATTGAGAATTGCTAAAGAGAAGTGTGAATTTTTTAAAGATTCAGTAAGTTATTTGGGTTTCATTATAGACAAAAATGGCCTACGGAAATCACCTGAGAAGGTGATGGCTATTAAAAATGCCCCGGTTCCTACAAATGTCAAACAATTGCAGTCTCTTTTGGGCTCAATCAATTATTTTGCAAAATTTGTTCCAAATCTGTCATCTTTATTATACCCTTTATATGAATTATTACATAAAAATGCAAAATGGCTATGGACTAAAGATTGTGATGTAGCATTTTCTGAAATCAAAGAGATTCTTATGTCAGATCAAGTGTTAGTTCATTATAATCCAGAATACAAGCTAAAAGTTACTTCTGATGCTAGTCCGTATGGTATTGGGGCAATGCTTTCTCATGTTTTTCCGAACGGAGACGTTAAACCAATCAGTTATGCCTCACGTACGTTGGGAAAAGCAGAACAAAACTATTCTCAAGTTGAAAGAGAAGGACTCGCGATCATTTTTGCGGTAGGCAAGTTCAACCAGTACCTGTACAATAATGAATTCATTTTAGAAACTGATAACAAGCCATTATTGGCCATATTCAACCCTACTAAAGGAATTCCGCAGTATTCAGCAAATAGACTAAGACGTTGGGCAGTGATACTATCTAATTACAGATATAAAATTCAATATGTTCAGTCTGATAAGAATGGATCAGATTTTTTGTCACGTCTGCCGATTGAATCAGAAAATGATAATTGGGAGTCATTTGATGTAGATTATTTCAATTATTTCTCAGAGAGTGATATAATTTCTACCAATATTCAAATGATACAGAATCATACTAATAATGATCCAACCTCACTATCGATAATTGATTTTTTGAAAACAGGATGGCCAAAATCTTCTAAAAAAGATGTAACTTTCAAAGATTTTCATAGAATTCGTGAACAATTAACAATTGAGAATGGATTACTAATATGGAATAACCGGATTGTAATACCAAAAACATTACAGAAGCGAATTCTTTCTCAAATTCATATGTCACATTTAGGAGTTGTTAAAATGAAAAAAATTGCTAGGGCAAATTTTTTTTGGCCAGGTATTAATAAGGACATTGAAGATGTGGCGAAAAATTGTGAAAATTGTTCAGTCAATAAAGTATCTCCAGCTAAGACAACTCTAAATTGTTGGAAATGGCCTGAAAGAGTATTCTCCAGAATACATATTGATTATATGGGACCTTTTCTCAACACTTATTTTTTCATTATTGTTGATGCTCATTCGAAATGGTTAGAGGTATATCCAACTTCGACTATTACAACAAAATTCAGTTTATCAGCACTACATACAACTTTTGCAAGATTTGGCCTACCTGATGTTATTGTCTCTGATAATGCTGCGAGTTTCACTAGTTCAGAATTTCAAGATTTCTTACGAAAATATGAGATCAAACATATTACCATTGCACCATATTTTCCTCAATCAAATGGTGCAGCAGAAAATGCGGTCAAGAATGTAAAAAATGCTTTGAAAAATTTTTTGGGGCGACACAAACATCTAGATATACTAACTGCTTTAAATAATTTTTTATTTGATTATAGAAATGTTAGTCACTCGACAACGGGTCAGTCTCCATCTAAACTAATGTTTGGTAGAGATATTCACACTAGGTTTGACATTTCCAAGCCCAATTTCGTGGTTCAAAATAAAGTTATGAAAGAACAGGATTACCAAAGAAAGAAATTTGGTGGTAATGAACGACATTTTTCAGTTGGGGATCGCGTAATTGTAAAAGACTACAGGGTGAACAACAAAGTTACATGGATCCCTGGTGTTATCAATGCAGTGGTTGGTAATTGCACTTATTTAGTTGAAGTCCCTGAGTTGAATCAAATTTGGAAACGTCATACTAACCAAATTTTGAAATCCAATGTATACAGTGGGTTGAGGGATGTTCATGATAGGAATGAAAGTACTTTTGATGATTCTAATTCTCATTGTCAGCCCTCAATTTCTGCAGATAAATCACGTGTACATGTTTGTCAGAGAGATAATGATGTGTCTGAAATTGATAATAATACAACTGTCATGGTTTCGAGACCGAAGAGAATCGTTAGGCCACCTGACCGGTATGGATATTGAGTGTTTTGATAGGTAGGTAGTTTTCATTTTGCTGCCGGAGAATGTACTGTATTGTATAGGAGGCGAACGTCGTGGAAATGGACAAAATGAGTTGTCATGGAAAATATATAACAATTTATTATAATTTGTGAATGAAATAAAGTAAGATAATATTCGCATGTTGCGTATCTTTCAATTAAGATGACACCAGATGATTAGATATGGTTACAAAATTTTAGTGGAAAGACATAACTATAACTGGTTCTTTAGGATTAAACTGTGGTGAAACTAAGGCAAAAAGAGAGTAAAATACTTCAAATATTTCAAACAACTCAGAAATTTGAAAATCTTCCATTATTACCTGTTTACTACATAATACGAGTCAACTCTCGTAACTCCACAAAATAGGTGGGTAAATTTTACTCCACAGATTTGACAAAGTTGTTACAGGGCGAACAAGGATGAAGAAGTTTGTTTTGTTTGTTTCAAGTTGAGTTGATTTGGTACCCTCAAAAACTTTCGCCGCTCGCCTAGGCAGACTCGCGCGCACTTTCTGTTCCACATCATAAATGGAACCACTCCAGAAAAATAGCCATTGAAATCCATCTAACCAGCTCTCAGTCAGTCAGTGGTGCTATTTTGTGATTTTGCATTATTCAATATTTTTAGGACTGATCGGGGTTTTCAAGGAGTAATGAAACGGCATGGATTCAAAGGTATGCCGGCTTCACATGGTGTCACAAAAACTCACCGAAGAGGCGGAAATATAGGTGGTGGTGGTGAAAAAGGAAGAGTCTGGCCTGGTACAAAAATGCCTGGTCACATGGGCAATAGATACAGAGTGGCCAAAGGACTGAAAATATTACGAATCAACACTTCTCATAATGTTCTCTATGTGTCAGGTCAAGCTATTCCTGGAGAGACCAATTCCATCGTTTACATTTATGATACAAAATTACCATTACGTAAACCTGTGAATCCTCTACCTTTGCCAACCTATTTGGGTGATGTAGATGAGAATGTTCCCGAGAACATCTATGATGAAAGTATACATAGTTTTTCTGATCCCACTGTCGTTTATGATGAGAGCAAGTGAATATAAAGTGAATTGTTTTAGATCAATGAGTCTCATTTAATTAAATTTCAATATCCCCCTTAACAATCATATCCGCTAGTTATTGTATACAAATCCAAACTATGTATATGAATTGTGATATTATTAATAATCTTTTCTGTTCAAAACTCAGATCGTCCCAATGGCTCCCGTTCGTTTTGATCCAGTCGGAAGAAATTTCACTAACAGTTTATTCTCACTGCACTCCAAAGCCGATGACACATAAACAACAACATTGCAAGAGAAAGCGAACATTTTTGCAGAGATGTTCACAACAAACTCCACCTTGGATTCCCAGGGAAGAGTGCCACCAGACATTTCACCCGTTCAAAGTCCAATTTCCGAAACTTTCTTTCGTCAGTGCACTATCAGACGCATTCTGCTCGGTCTCAAAACGAATAAATCCAATGGTCCTGATGGAATTCCACCCATCATTATTCCCAAAAAGTGTGCACCAGAAATTGACACCGATTCTCTACAAGCTATTTACCATCTCCTACAAGTCAGGTATTTTTCCATCTTGCTTGAAAATATCTAGAGTCCAACCTCGAGTCCAACCAATCCCCCAAAAAGGAAACAGAATCCTGCCCAACAACTATAGGCCAATTGCCATCAACATTTAGCTCATCAAATATCTGGAAAGCTCAGGAATCATTAATGCTTGACAAAATGGCTTTCACCACCGAAGATCAACTGGAGATCTACTTGCATACGTCACCCATATATAGCAAGCATCATAAAAAAAACATTGGGGATCTCTAGCTGTAGCGTTAGATATGTCGAAGGCATTTGATCGTGTTTGGCACCAAGGACTGCTCCACAAACTGTCACCATACGACTCACCACCTCAGCTATGCCATCTTTTATCGAGTTTTCTTTCAGGCAGATCACTCCGTGTGGTGGTGGACGGATAGTATCGTCTGGTACCGTTGCCATCAATTCTGGCGTTCCACAAGGATCAATTTGGGCACTAATATTGTTCCTACTTCATATCAACGATCTATTGGGAGCAGCAGTTTGCCTCATCCACAGCTTTGTAGACGATAGTACTCTCCATACTGTGTTCTCTTCGAGAATTCCCATTTCTTCCCAGGAAACATAGAACTGGAGGAATGCAGGTCAATGCTGGCAATGAAGATCTTGCGGAAATAACAGCCTGGGGAACCATCAACAACGTAGCTGAATTCAACGCCTCCAAAACTCAAGCCTGTATTTTCTCTAGAAAGGCGGAACTCAGTATATGCCTGATATAATAATGTCTGGTACCACCAAGATCACTATATATATATGCTCGGTATTACCATCAGCAATATTTTCTGGGAAAATTATGTCCGATCCATCGCAAAAGCTGTTTCAACAAAAACTGGGATTCTTGTTCCGTGTGAAAATCTACTTCTGATGATATACAAAGGCACATCAGATACTGCCAGTTTTAGAATACTGTTCTCATGTATGAGGTGAGAGCCATTCGCCTGGTATGGGTGATGCCACACTCACTAACTCTTTGACCCCATTAGAACACCGTAGAAAATAAGTCGGCGACCTTTCACTTTTCTATAGATACTTCCACGGGAAATGTTCCTCATAAATCTCTGCTATAATGGGCGTGTACACCTTAGTAGAACTTATAACTCAAACCATGTTTATAATGCTCCTTTCATACATAAATAATGATTGACGACATAATTCGATCGAAAAATTACCTGGAATATTTTATTTTTGGGCATAAATAATAGTACCTTCTGAAAACGGACCCTCTTATGACGTAGAAACCTCATCTCGCCATAGTTAAAAGAAAATACCAAAAGCCCGACGGAGGCTGAGGCAACTGATATATTAATTCTTCCAACTGTGATTTCGCGCTAACTCACTCTGTCAGAAATCATGTATCATTCAACTCTGTCTGGAATAGTCTTGTTCCAGCATTAGGGTTTTGACGTCACATCATCGCCTCGTTTTCAGAGGTCCGAAAAATCGGGGATTTCAATAATTTTTTATAAAACGTAGGGAGCTCTCAGCAAGAAACGGTTTGCGGTGGTGTGCTAGTTTGGGTGAGTTCTATCGAATTATGAAATAAAAATTTTTTGTGATATAAGCCCATTCCATCACTAGCGATACCATTCAGACGAACTCGACAGGCCCAGTCCGTGCATCCCTTCGTCAACCTTGAAAAATATCGAACAACACTCTACCAAAACTCGTTCGTATATAGAACGGCGAAGCATTGGAATTCTTTGCCAATGGAATTATCCCCAAAGACATAACCTCCGAAAGTTTAAAAAAACTCTCCCCATCCTCCCTAGGTACGCATGAACATTATTGGAATTTCCTTCCGTGCACTCCAAGAGATGAAAAAACAACCCAACACATGATATTTCTTCATAGTTAAAACTTTACAGTAGCGCGATAGCTCAGTGTAACTGACTTCCACGGCAGTGGCTGGCGTTCAATTCCGTGCGAGGCGCCAATTTTTTTACTCGACTACTTTTTCGAGATTTGTATACTATTTTACCTACGGCCACTATAGAAAGTAGGCAAGAACACACGAGATTCAGTAAGTAGCTCTTTACGCACAGTAAGCACATCGCACAGTTTTCGTTTATTCCGATGATCGCGTAATCGCCGTCAACAGCGGATGACATCTGTCAAGAATTCTAATTCAGACTGTTTGTCCAAACTTTTTTGATGTATATGGCAGTAGGTAAAGTATAGTACGTAATGCGTGTTGATAAGCAATTAATACGCACTCATGGAATTACGCACTCGCCGCTCCGCGGCTATGTGCGTAACTTTTCCATTCGTGCGTAATATACTTTTTACAACACATATTACGTAATATACTATTTTTCACAACCATCATATTTCGATCGTAACTAATTAATTAACCTCTGTTTGGTTCTGAACATACTCAAAATATTACATACGTAAGGGCAAGATTCGGGAAGTGAGGGCAGGAAGTAGAGGTGAATAATGTGACACTTCCCAACCTTCAATGACGTTAGTAATGACAACATTACATATATATGGTTGTAAATGAACGATATTTTTACGCCGGCGGGAGTAGAAGTTAGTTTCTCTGGTAACAAAAGAGGGGCAGAAGTCTCGTATTATTACCTAGGGCGATAATGTGACAGATTTTCTCCCTAGGGAGTTTATACCAACTTTACATTTTTCGCATAGCTCTGCGCTTTCTTTTCGAGACACCCTTCTCTGAAGCGAGTATAAGCCGCATCATACAGATTTCTATATCTAACTGGTAGCAAGTTAAGAATCACTGCAGAAGCAGTATCAATAGTTTCTTGGGGTGTTCCCTCGATTTCTTGTTCCATAACTGTTAACCATTTTTAAAGCTGTTTTCATAATTATTTTCAGTTTGATATTTGCTGTCACCATGGGTTGTTAACAATAAAATACATGTTGTCAAGATGCGAATTCCACAAACTATACTACTACTAATTATGACGAAACACTTTGACCAAATTTTTATTCTTTCTTAATTTTTATGTTTTCGTCATCGTAAAAAAATAGTGTGTACACCTCAGGACAGAGTGCTATTTTTCCATTGGTGTTTTGTATCTCTCGGGCTTCGCCCTCGAGCTTCAAATCGCGCCTTCTGTCCCTTGATGTATAATATACTATTTCCTTCTTCATTATACCTTATAAACCCTCTGATAACATTGAGATTCTCCGCAGTACAGAAAGCTCCTAATTGAATGACTGGCGAGAGACTTTAGTGAAAATGTGACTAGTGACAGTTTGTGATGGCAACACCATGAACTCAGTGTGTTAACGAGTTCAAATAGTTCAATGCGCAACACTCAACGGTGACAGTAATGATCTGTGTGAAATTGGCACCGCAAGGCTTCCGCAAGGTGTCAGAAAACTGAGATAAACAAATAAGAAGAAGAAGATTTATTATGATTTGATAAAAATTAGAGTTCCTAAATGTACTTGACACTGCTCAAAAAACGTCAAAACAGTACTGTCAAGTACATTTAGGAACTCTAATAAAAATTAAAAATAGAGTTTTGTTGTAAATAGAAATTCAAAATTATGAATTATGCAAACATTTTTTTATTATAAGATGAGGGAATAGGTCAACATTTGGAAATGTAAATGTCCCTACAGGGTGAAATATAGAGATAACGAGTACTATTACCTAGAAATGATCAGTCCTATTTCCAAAAATGGAAGGAAACTCTGTAGTGTTTTTACTATCAGTTCTATTGGTAATGATATTGAAACAATCAAATGCAGGAGTAATGCACAGTCACACTAATGAACTACATAAAGAACGTGAGACTGATGGAGCTTACAGTCCTAGAGACTATGACCATCACAAAGATGGGGAGCACTTCAGTGAATTTGACCATGAAGCTATCATAGGAAGTCACAAAGAAGCTGAAGAGTATGACCATCTTTCTCCTGAAGAATCTAAAAGAAGGCTGGAAATTCTCCTATTGAAAATGGATCTGAATAATGATAGACAAATCGATAGAAAAGAGCTCAAAGCATGGATTATTAGATCATTCAAGTAATTTGATGGATTCCTTCTTTTCATGGTCACTGTATTGGGTTCTTTCTAGGATGCTATCTGAGGAAGAAGCAAGAGACAGGTTAGAAGATGCTGATGAGGATGATGATGGGCGTATTACATGGGAGGAGTATTTGTCAGACACATATGGAATTGATAGTTCTGAAAATAGTCTTACATTTGGGGAAGACAGTCAACATGTAAGTGAAAAATAAATTGTATAAAGTTGACTGTTCACGTGACTTGAGATTTCTCTAAATGAATATTGTTATCCATGCTCCTTTATTGTTTCATAAATAGGAGTAGACCATTTTTTGTAATAACTGGGCAATTACTTGATAGAAATACATATAATTCATACTCATGCAATGAGACAGTTGAATTCATTAATAGCAAACCCATATAACTCCATCATTGGCAAACAATCAGTATTCTACAATGGAATCATTTTATATAATTCATTACCTTATGATTTGAAACATATTGATGATGAAACAAGATTCAAAGTCAATATGAAAAAATATATACTCATGACACAATAAACGGAGAAAGGAGAAAGTCAGTACAAGACATTTCTTTTTTAAATACCAATGTCTAAGTAAAATTGGATAGTTTCTTGATGATGTTATTTCATGTTCCTGGTCCTGAAAAAAAACCTGAAATAAACTATACACTTCAACTATACATTATTTAACCAGTATTGGCAGTATGGATGCCCAGATATAATCTCATTAGATGGGTATAATCCATCAATTAATTCTGGGTAATTTGATCTGCTGCAAAATTCTTCATGATTATGAACAAAGGGTTGTGTGGGAGAATTGGAAATACAGCATGAGTAGGTTATCAAGAAGTTTAATTTTTCTGATTTCACTGAGTGAGTTGGTTCAGAAATGATAATATTCACATGTATTTCAGTTGATTGCAGATGATGAAGTCATGTGGAAAGCAGCTGATGAAAACAAAGATGGATTTCTGAATAGTGAGGAATGGGTATCTTTCTCTCATCCTGAAGAACAACCCAAAATGCTCCCTGTTATTTTAGAACAAACATTGAGAGATAAAGACAAAGATGGTGATGGGTCTATCAGTTTCCAGGAATATATGGGTGCTAGAGGTACTGATTTGGGAAAAGAAGATCTAATGACTGAAAAAGTGAAGTTTGATGAAGTACTAGACAAAAATAAAAATGGAAAATTAGAGGGAAGTGAGATATTGTCTTGGGTAGTTCCAAGCAATGAGTAAGTAATTCTTCCTATGATTTCTTTAAGAAATATCATCAATTTTATGTCTACATATCATTATAATAATCAACAATTTTTTTTAGTGAAATAGCTCAAGAAGAAGTGGATCATCTTTTTGTTCACAGTGATGACAACCATGATGACATTTTAACATTTGAAGAAATTATTGACCATCATGAAACATTTGTAGGTAGTGAGGCAACAGATTATGGGGATCATCTTCATAACATTCATCATTTTGAAGATGAGTTATGATTAAGTGAATGCCATTATCTATTCTGATATAGAGGTGTGGTCAACTGGGTATATATTTATAACTACCATAACTTGAAGAATCAGCTGAATCAGTTTTTATATTTTCAAAACAATTAGGAAATAATACAAATGAACATTTCTTAGAAGAGCACATCTATGTTGTATTTTGGTATGCCCCTATCAATTTCACTACAACACAATATTCATATAAGAACCAATTTCTAATCAGCAATAAGAGCAGTGCTGGTTTCAGAACAAATATTAACTTTTGTTAGTCATATACCTAATATTATAGATTTAATGTTTCAAATTCAACTTATTTGAAATATATTTTTGACTTTAATTTTGTACTGACCAGTTAAAATGTTCAGTTTTAGTCTTCAGATTTGAACTGAATTTATCACATTTCAGAATATGTTCACATCCACCGAGGATTCAATAAAAAAATTAAATGATTAGATTTTGTTAATATAACATGATTGAAATAGAATGAAAAAAAAAATGATTAAAACCTCAACTGCTCAATATGTCGTCCATTCTGCTGCAAACATTTCCTAGCTCTTTTGATAACGTTCATTGTGACCCTATGTATCACATTTCGATCAATTTGTGGGCATAAGTTTCTGATTTTCTCTTTCATTTCTTCCATATTCACAATTGGCGACTTATAAACCTGTTGTTTCAAGTAATCCCACAAATAAAAATCGAGTGGGGTGAGGTTTGGCGACCGAGCTGGCCAGTTATTATCAGGGGCGGACTGGGTTGAAAAAAGCTAGAGGGCTTTGTGGATCAAAGGGCGCAACATGAAATGATTGTCTGAGTGTTCATACAGAGGCGTAGAAGTGTACCATTTTCTTTTCAATCCGACTCTCAACTCGGATTTGGCCCAATATTGGAATATTGCATGAAAAATTAAAGACAACCCCTGATTATTGATGTATGATATTATCTCCTTCTCGAATAAACAGATGCATTCTTACTATCTGAAAAAATACCTACTCAATATATTCATCTTCTGCATGTATTCCTCCAGATATAGGCTTTTAAAACGATTCGAAACAAACATCAGAGTTTCATGGATTTTGAATAGTGTTTGAGAGTATAGGCCATGACAATGATAACAATTTAATTTTTTACTGATCAGATTTGCAATCATTCTTATTATTTTATTTCAAAAATCGATCAAACTCTGTTAGTCTTAGATACTCAAAAATTGAAAAATATGGAAGATGATTATATTGAATGATGTGTCTTTGGAAAGGTCTTTGAGAGGTCTTTCCGTGGTAAAGAAATATACAGTGTCCCATCAACGATTTAATAGACACAGTATTGCTATTTCCCAAACAGTAAGAGATATAAAGTTGATTAGATAGGACAAACGTTGCTTAATTTGAACTTATTCAATATAACGTTATGCACTTTCAAAAAATGTCAGCCGTTCCTGAAATATTTTGAAAAGACTAAAAATCACTGATTTCGTTCCTAATTATTCTCTTGATTAATATTAGAGAGAAAATATTGAAATTTTGTGTGAACAGGTAATTAATCATGGATGGTAAAGAAGTTGGGATTCTCAGAAATATTCTATCTATTATTTTCAGAAATTTACCAATTCAAATTCAATCATAGAAATATAACTGGAATAAAACTTATGTCAAGACCAAGTCTTACACTGAATGATAACCTTCAATAATAGTTAAAGGAAATAGTATCTTGATTATTCAACGAAAAATTTATATTCTGAGGTTTTCTGTGCCTTTTGTAATAATGTAGCAAGTTATTCATGGTTATTAAGAAGTATCGATATTGTGGTCATGACGACTGATAATATATGTTTTCTCATTTTCATGGCCTACCACATCTGAAAATGTTTTCACTGATCTTTAGCGCTATTTTCATTCAATGGTATATAAAAACAGATATAGCGCCCATAAGAAAAACGTAGTTTGCATGTTGAATCTCTGAAAATATTGAAAAACATTTCTGACAATCCCAACTTCTTCATCATGATCAATCACCTGTTTATATACAAAATTTCAATAGCTTTTCCCAAATATTGACTAAGAAAAGTTTTTTCAAAATATTTCAGGAAATTGTAAAACGTCAGAATTCCAAGTAACAATGTCGTCATTCCGAGTAGAAAGTCTGCATTCGAAAATGAAATTAAAAACGTTGCTTTCTGGCCTTCGTAAGGCGCGATAGCAGCGCGTTTTGTCTTTCTTTACTTTCTTAGATTCTTAGTATACCAGGGGCAAGGGCGCCACTGGGCAAAGGCGCGGAGGGCTTCGCCCTCCCGCCCTCCGGGCCAGTCCGCCCCTGGTTATTATCACCATCCAGACAATTGGTGGTTATCAGATTTTCTTCAAACCGATGGCGAAGATAATCCTTTACGGGTCTGTAGTTATGTGAAGGACACTTATCATCCGATTAAAATCGTGTTATATTAATAAAATCTATTCATATAAATTTTTTATTGAATCGTTTCATTTTTTGCTATATCTTCGTAATCGTTTGAAAAAATCCCATCAAACCCGGCATTGTTGAATTTGTAATAATGAACTCTACTTGAATATGGAATAATATACTGTGTGTTCCTATTCAAATAAGAAAGTTGAGGTGCACTTCAGTGTGACCCTGTATACCTACGATTTATTCAATAGCATATTTTGAGTGAGCATCATCACATATACTGGGTGCCCAAATTTCAATTCATTCGATCGCGCGGTTGATTTTTTACAGGGGGGGACATTTTAGCTGGGACACAGTGTATACACTGGTCTAAGCTGGATTGTTAACTTAAGCAAGGAATTACTGAAACATTTCTGGATATCCACTTGCCTACAAACATGTTCCCAGACAGCACCAGATATTCCATGAATATTCATAGAATATTCTTTCTGGATATTGCGAATATTCATGAACATGCCAGGGATATACATATCAACTATGGAATATTCCCTGAATGTGCTGCTGGGGAAAATTTTGTATATTCCCGGAATATTACACAAGGAATATTCCCTATATATTCAGAATGTACCTATAATATTCTAGGAATATTCAGATAATATTCGGAATATTCCTGGAATAATACAGGAATATAAATAAATGAATATTCCGGGAATATTCCGTAATACATATTCATAATTAAAAAAAGCTGACCCAAGATGGGCTCGAACTCGGGACTTTCAGACTGTCAGATCAACGCCTTAACCACTTGGCCAGTACTCGAGTTGAATAATAATGTACATAACAATTTATTGAATTGCGTTGTTCAGAAGGGAACCATAAACACTTCCAGTTCCATATGGGCTCTCGACATGTACGATTGTACGATGATCTGATTGAGTACTTTGATCACTATCAAAATTGTGGAGACGACTTTTTGTTTTTGATCCGTGGTAACATAACCACTTCACTTTGAAATACGATAGACTTCTACCACAGATTTCAAAATCAATGTTCAATACTCACATCTATAAAATTGTGATTGGTTAATTTTCGTACTTTACAATTCAATTGAAACACATGGGAATATTATTGAAATATTCCATGAATATACAAGAACAGAATATTCAATTGGGAATATTCCTGGAATATTCATACCTGAATATTCCCTGCACTATCCAACTGGAATATTATAGGAATATTCACTTCAGAATATTCCTTCTGGAATATTCCATGTATATTCATTTTGGAATATTACTAGAATATTCACATTTGAATATTCCTTGAATGTTCCAGAGGCACGTATATATTCTAAGAATATTCGAAGGATATTCGGAATATATTCTTCCCTTTTAGCATATTAAGAGAATATTCTAGGAATATCCAGTGCTGTCTGGGTTTGTCAATCTATTTTTCAAATCAAATAACTAACCATCCAGTGAATATAATTGAAAAGATTGAAGTCATATTATAATATTTTTCGCTTCCAAATCTTTGTGGAATCATTTTGAGTGTCATTAGAATAGTGATATTATGTACCCATATAAATATATTTCCAAATGATTATGACACACTGGTCCATGACTCTTACAATTCTTAGTTTTTAAGGGTGTAAATGTATTTATTGTGCCATATTAAAGATTGTATAGAGAATTTCTGAAATATGTGCTGTTTTCTATTTTCTTTCTACCACAAAATTTCCTGCCTAAGTAGCCATATCTTCTGAAAAATTGGGAATTCAAAATAGCAAAATATTGAACCTTATTGAAACCAGATTCCACTGAATAAGTTGAGTGAAATTAACATTCACAAGTTCAGTGTTAATAACTATGAAATCGATTCAGTACCAATATGTTGACGACAAATTGCAAAATGAGCGTAGATATTGGACCAAAAGTGTTGCCGCAGAACGAGTGTAAAGAATATATACTCACAAAGTTTTTATTTGTAATTTCACGTTTCAAAACATAAAATTGGAAAATAGATAATTTTGTATTCTTGAATTCGAACTTTGATGATTTCTACCATAATGTTTGGTATACTGAGCGTAGATATGATTCAGAGGGAATAGAGAAACCTTATATTAGTTTCAATTTGAAATCTTGTTTCGACACTAGTAGTGTCTATATGTGAATATGATAGTGATCGACACTATAGAATCGACTATTTGCCCATATGTGTCCATATTAATATTCGAAATTTCAACAGAAAGGCGTTATACAGGGTGTTAACAAATAAGTGTCACAACGGAAAACTGTAGATTCCTCATAATAAAAGATTTCCTCTCCAAAATTTTTCTCCGGGCTTCCGTTTTCAAGATACAGGGCGTCAAAAAATTAAAAATGTTGAGTTCAATTGAACACACTTTACAACACTAAATAAACTTGATAATTTGAAAACCAGCATCGAGACCAGCATACTCAAGAACCTGACATTTGATTGAACATTATATTAGACAGATCTGAGGTGTTTATTTCCCGTGGATTTTTAGACAATTTTTGAAGATACCATCAGAATTTTGTATGTTCTTATTCCTAGAGCCATTTTTCGCGGAAACTGTTCACTTTAGAGCATTGAGACAAGAGGACGTTTTTTGTGTGAAAGATATTGGCGCTTCAGAATCTACTTTGGAAATTACAATTTCTCCAGTGGCATAAATGTTTGGGGGGTTGAACCCTTACGAGGCGTTGAATTCTCCTCCACTGACATGTCCAAGGAAATTGATCAAGAGCCCTAAAAGTAGTCATTATTGATGATGAAGTGTGTACGAAGGCTTAACTCCGTAGCTCCGACGGTTTCTGAGATAGTAGCAAAAAACAGATTTTTCTGCATTTTTTTGACGCCCTGTATCTTGATAACGGAAGCCCGGAGGAAAATTTCGATAGGGAAAAGAATGTTTCTTTTTTTCATGAGCAATCTACAGTTTCCCGTTGTGACACTTATTTGTTAACACCCTGTATATTGCAACGAAATTTCAAATAACTGTTATAATGATCAAATGTAAAACTATAAAGAATATTAAAAGCTTGAATAGCGTTTGATATATATTTTATGTGTGACTAAATCTATAATACTTACATGAAACTATATTGGTCGTAAATAATATAGTTATGTTTTACTTGGTAGAAAAGCACAAGATTCAGTGCTGCGCGGCATTGGCGCGGCTAGAGTTTCATAACCAATAAGGCATCAAATCTTCTTCTCTGCCATATGAGATAACATAACACCCAAAGTATCATTGTCAATTTCGATTACCAATTTGATTCCAATTACTTGGAAACGTTGCATAGGAACAAATTTT